TCTGCAAATTTTCTTTCGCTTCTAACCTGTTGGTGGATGAACAGCACATTCAGAACAGGAAACAAGCGGCCATTAAACCAATCAGATTTCCTGCCGCTGAACGAAGAAGACAGAACACGTGACCAAACAGAACGTCTTCAAGAACTGTGGGATTTTGAAGTGCAAAGATGTAGCACCAATGCTGATCGAAAGCCAAAGCTTTGGAAATGCTTTCTAAGGATGCTATCCTGTAAAGAAATTCTGTTTCTACTGAGTTTTTGGTTCCTGGAGTCTATCTTCTTGGTTTCAGTTCCTTTAGTACTCGGGCTGCTTCTCAGCTCATTAAACTCCGCAGAGATAGATCGACCCCTTGTATACGGCTGCTGTTTGATTATAGGAATGACAGGAGTATTTGCCGCTACCACACATTACGCTGAATTTAGATGTGATCTTCTGGGCATGCGCTTGAGTAGTGCTCTCAAAGGAATTATTTATCGAAAGGTGAGTGATAATTGAATGAAGAGTTTTCGTTGCTTCGTTTCGTTTCTTCTTCTTTTTTTCTTCATCTTCCACTGATCTTCTTTTTCCTAGTTCTGTTATCATTATAATTTTCGTTACCATTATCATGATAAAGCTTTTTGTGGTGGTCGTCTTCCCGAATGGCACATGATGTTTTGGTGAAATTGCTGGTTTTCAGTGTCACGCCATTCAAAATAGAACAAAATAAAAATCAAAACCATTCGACAGATAAAGTCCAGAATCTGGGAAATGAAAGGTCGGAGGTAAATATACAAAGACCCTCCCCAAGATTTGGGTCGAAGGAATAATTCGTGTAGGAGATATCCGAGGAAATGTTTTACCCAAATTTATAGAGCTTTATGGAGACGCCATGCTGGAGCTCATCCGGATGAGCTCCAACATGGCGGACGGAAACCAGCAAGTTTTGCTACAAAAGCGTGAATTTACTCCTAGAGGAACTCATAAACATGAAAGTAATACTTTTTCTAATACTTGAACTGTTTAGATAGCAAAAGTCCTCGAAAAAAGTCACTTTTTTAACTTAGAAATTCAAGCGTACTTTATTACAAAACCAAGAAACCTTTTGAAGCGAAAATTTGTTTGAAAATTAGTTTTCAGCTGCTCTAATACACCATGAAAGTAAAATCTCAGTAGGATCGATAGTTTTGTAGTTTGAATTTTAGTGACGTCATGTGAAAACCAACAATACCTAATCAGGAAAATACTATTCTACGCAGTTTCATCGTGTTTAATAACAAATAATCTGAATTGAAATCAACTATGACAATTTTTCTACAGTTTTTACTTTGCATATCACGTTAGGTGCCAAAAGGGGTAAGATTTATCAGTGCAGTTTCATTAAAGGACATAGTATAATTTATTTATTTGCAGATTCTTTTGGTCACTCAACAAAGCCTGCTGAAAACAACAACAGGCAAGGTCATGGACTTGATATCAAACGATGTTCAGAGAATGGAAACGGCTCCTACTGGGATATGCGTTTGTTTCTTTTCTTTTTCCGACATCATCGTTGTATCTGTTTTGGTGTATTACCTTATTGGCTGGCAAGGACTTATGGGAATTCTGTTTTCAACGATGTTACTTCCTTGTGTGTTGTTTATATCATCGGTTTGTGCCAGACTTCATCTAGAAATCTCTAAGGTATCAGATAGACGTATTTCACTGATGAACGAACTTGTGACTGGTATCCGTGCCTTAAAGACGCATGCGTGGGAGGAATACTATGAAAAGAAAGTAATGGATGTGAGAAGGTGAGACAGGCAGTTTATTGTATTACATAATACCAATTTATGCACTGAAGCACACGCGCCAACTCCGCGGTATGGCCAGTACCTTACGCATACGAACAACCATATCACCCCGGCAGTGGCAGTAATTGGTATTGTATATAGCCTACGTGTAGCCACACCCTACCCCCGACAAAGGAAAAACGGAGAGAGGGAGGAGAGAGGGAGCTCCCTCTCTTCGTTTTTTCTTTGTCGGGGGGAGGGTGCGGCTACACCTAGGCTAATCGTATACATTTAGCAATTCTTGAATGAGACTGAGTATGATGTGATGCAGTTCAGGGAGGACGTTAGCCACCAAGGCTGAAGGCCGAAGTGGATAATTAATAAAAAAAAAAAAACACCCTCTGAGATCTACATCACATCATACGAACACCGACTTTAATAATTGGTTTATATTTCATTCCAAATCTTTTTAAGTTCTTAACAAGCTTACCTCTTAGTAGACTTTCTTCAAAACTTAGCCTATTCCTGGGCACCGTTTCAGGTTATACAGCTGTTTCGAAAAAGTTGTCTGAAAAGGTGCACGCGACAATCCCGAAAGTTACTGTGAGTGGTTTTGAGTTCAATGTTCTTCAAAGAAATTTGAAAGATCGGCACGAGAGGCCTTGGACATATGTTTGCGAGTGCTAAAAGAAAACAACAAAATTAGGTTCGACAGCTACAGTGTCAGGTACAGTGTATTGATCATACCCCATATTACTTTTCGGGATTGTCGCGTGCACATTTTTTCCGACAACCTTTCTCGAAATAAGAGTAAACAGATGTTTTTTTTGTAGATACTCGCTCCTCAAAAAGTAGATAATATATCCATCGAGCAACATGTTTTGCATATTTTTGCATGTATTCCGTTCCGGGTTTAGTCAGGAATTAAGGTTATTTCGCCTTCTTTGGATAGCCGTGAACGCGTTTTTTTTGGTTTATTCGCGAAGTAACAGATTGGCGGCCGTGCCTGGAAACGAGTTTAATCGATGTCTATTGCCCAAGTAGCCTCGTTTTCAGGCATATAACCATGGATCAAACTCGTTTCTAATCAAATATACCATCGAATCGCCGATCGATGGTATATTGCTCCCGTCTTCCAAATATGGTAAGCGCCAGTCGGTAATAAAGAATTAGCTGGGGGATTGGAACCAATAAGAAGTGGCGAAATATTTTAAATGAATAATAAACTGAGATATTCCAATGAAAAGCCATATAGTAAATTTCATTATATACAAATTACAGGCAATAAGAGGCAAAAGCCAATTGGTTATAAGTAGTGTACCGCTCTCGCGCTCAGTTAGTAGGGGGTAAGTAGAGACATACAGCACTCAAGCCGTTTCAGGTTGGGCGTTTGACGTTTGACGTTTGTAGCATCTACTTGCTTAGCTACACGTCTTAACCTCAAGGAAACTTCGAAAACATGAAAGAATTATTTCACGAGAAGAGGCCGCCATATTGAAGTTTCAGACAATTGTAGTGTTTAATTTTCAGATGGTCGCAAAAAGTCCTATTTCTACTCATTCACGGCAAATTAAACTACATTGTAGTCTTGTACAAAAAAAGGCCGGTCTACATAACAACAGAAATTCAGGATAAAAAACAATCACGTAAATCATCTATCATGACTTCCGTGAAAACCTACCTTCAGGCGTTGAAAACCCAACTTGAGAACTTGATCAAAGTCGACTGGAAGGCTTGGTCAAGTGACTTCTAGAGGTTTGCCGTTTGAGGTTTCTGATGAAACTCTGGGTGTTAAGAGTCTCTATTATTGAGTTTTCTAAAGGGTGATTCTAAGAACAAATTAGAATTGTAGTGAAGATAACCGGTTGTTATTAAGGCCTTCGCGTGTATTTTTGCCAAAATCTTATGTAGAAGATTTATAGTAACGATGTTTTTCTTCATTAATTTTCAGCTCAGAGTTATGGATTATTCTTAAAAAGAGTGCCCTGTTATCTCTCGTGCAGGGTGGTGAACAATCGTCAGCAAGCCTTTCGGCGTTTCTATCCATAGTCACCCTAGTCCTTACTGGACGATTTGTTTCGACTTCTAAGGCTTTCATGCTACTCGCTCTTTTAAACGTTCTTATCAAAATGATAGTCAACAGAATGGGACATGCTGCTCCTGGGGTCTTTGAGGTCTTTGCTTCCTTTGAAAGAATTGAACGTTTTCTTTTACGTGAAAATGTGTCACGGCTTGGCTCAGCCGAAGACACTGAGAATTTTGGTAGCGAAGAAAATGCTCAGGTGAAATCACCCGTGGAGGAACAGAAAGAACATCTGACTATTGAAAATGGCATCGTTGAAAACCACAATGGAGTACCAGGGAAAAGAGATTCGAAACTATCAGTCTCGGGACTCTCCTGCAAACTGGATAATTCTAGTGAAAAGTTTCTTCTCCGAGACATTAGTTTCGTTGCTCGTGAAAATAGTCTTACCGTAGTTACCGGTCCAGTTGGTGGTGGAAAGTCAACCCTCCTGGCCACAATCGCTGGTGAGGTGACGAAAACAAGTGGTGAAATATTTTGCCAGGGAACTATAGCCTATGTACCCCAATCGGCGTGGGTTTTCCCGGGGACTATCAGAGAGAATATATTATTTGGTGAGCCATTCGAGGCGCAAAGATATGCCGACGTTTTAAAGGCCTGTTCGCTGGCAGAGGACATCAGCAGATTTCCTCAAGGAGATTTAACATACGTTGGAGAACGTGGTGTTGTGTTTAGTGGCGGTCAGCGGGCTCGTGTCAGTCTGGCACGCGCAGTGTATGCAGATGCAGACGTGTATATCTTGGATGATCCTTTAAGCGCTGTGGATATTAAGGTGGGTGAACACATATTTGAAGAATGTATCTGCAAGCTTCTAGGAAACAAGATTAAAATACTGGTGACATATGCAGAGACTTGTCTCAAAGCGGGCGACCAGGTTGTTGTTCTTCACAAAGGATTTGTGGCAGGAAAAGGCACCTTCCAAGAGCTGCAAGAAGATGAAAAAATCCTAGATATTATCAAAGATGTCTCAGCTAATAACAAAAGAATAAAGAAAGTGAGTCCTGGAAAAGTTAAAGAAAAAGTCATGCCTACCATGTGTAGCAAAGACGCGGCCTTGACCAGTGGCGGCTTTGGTGAAAATTTGGAGATTTCAGAAGAAGAGATGGCCACAGGAAGTATTTCATTTTCTTTGTACTGGAACTACATTCGAGCAGGAATGCATCCCGTAGCAATTATATGCTTGCTTCTCTTTTTTCTGGTGACGCAAGGTAAGGAAACTAACCATAACCTTCCGTGAACCATAAAGGGGGTGTGTCACATGGCTGTCTAGAGTTCACTCTGATAGTATTGCCAATGACTCTTCCTTATGCACTATGACACTTAACGTTAACCAAGAAATTACTTCACTAAATTAGTTGTAGTCGACCCTACTGATAGATGTTTTGATAAAATTCGTGACACAGCTCTTTTAAGCTGCATTAAATTGAGGTGATTCTGAAGACAAATGCATTGATTTACTACTCCAAACTGCAGAGGCCTTCAAACCACAACGTAGAAGAATCTAAGCCCCTCTTATGAAGTCAATAACTTTTAGTTTTAGCAGAATTCAAATAAATATCTCCTCAAAAATCCATGAAGCATTTCCAAATTCCAATTCGATCTGGAACATCATACGAGTTCTAAGAACAAGTGCTTCGTGGGTAAACAAATTACAATTACCAGCTAATTACAGTGATTACAATTATGTTTTTCCAGCGGCTTCCAAAATGCAAAACATAAGCATCGCAACGAAATCGAACTGATTACAGACATGTTCACGGCAGGAATCCCTTTCGCCTTTTTCTTGAATGTTCTTGGTTTCTGTCCGCACAATGATTCAAAATTTGGATTTCGAGTTCAAACGTAAACCCCTGCTCCTTTTCCTAACGTGCCACCGAGATTTTAAAGGCTTTTCAATAAAGTTTATTTACTGATTTTTCATGTTCCTTAACGTAATAACTATTGGGAGTCAATTATTGTTGTTGGCGGAGTCTCGCTTTGAGTAAGCTCTGTTTGCTGGGATACCAAATAATGAAAACTTTATTTTGGGATGAATTTGGCCACAGGAGTGGCCGATTATTTAATTTAAGCATATTATAAAGCTAGGAAAATCCGGTTTCACAAGATGATTCGATCCAAACAAAGGAGAGGGCAAACCCGCCATCCCAGAGAGTAAAATGAAGCAAAAGGGAATGAAAGGAGGGTGAATTCTGTCCTAAATTTCTTGTTGCAGTGAGCAGAGAGGCTTGGTGCCTCCCCTTTATGTCTTAAGAATACACATATAATTTCCCGGATGGCAGGAAGGCCCTTTACTGCGGCCGGAGAAATGAAACATTTATCAGTCACATTAAGCATAAAACCATTTATTTCTTTCAGAAATAACTTTCATTTTCTTCTTGTCTTCCTTCTTCCTCTGCAGTTGTGCTGGTAGCGCCAAATATCTGGCTTGCCATTCTGACCAGAATGACCAAGGAAAAACAACAAGATGCAACAACAATTCAAATTTATGGCATCCTTGTTGCCGCTGCGTTTGGTTTGGGTATCGTCCGGGCCTTTCTTTTGTTCCATGTTTTACTGAGATCAGCCCAAGCTCTCCACAACAGGATGGTTACCTGCCTTCTAAAAGCGCTAGTATTATTTTTTGACACGAATCCCGCCGGAAGAATACTCAACAGAAGTTCAAAAGACATGGGCTGCATTGATGAACTCTTACCCACCACATTTCTGGCAGTAGCTCAGTATTTTATGATGTTAATTACAGCAGTGATTCTCCCTTCAGTAATAAACGGTTGGTTTGTCTTTGTCACGCTACCCTTAATAGCTGCTTTTGTGTACTTGACGTGGTATTACTTGAACACCTCAAGGGAACTTAAGAGGCTGGAGTCAATCTGCCGTAGTCCCGTTTTCTCGCACTTCTCGGAGACCATGGAGGGCTTAAGCACTATTCGCACTCGAAAGAAAGAAAAAGGTTTTCTAACACGATTTTACCGGTAAGATATTTTTTCACTTGTCGCAAATACTTATTACTTCTTTTCATTATGCTGCTTAAATATGTTTTGGGGGTAAATAAGCGATTTCGCACAAGGTTAGTGGTCGAGAGTTACCCTGTGTGAGAGTATGTGAAACGATTCTCCACTACGATTGTTAGAGCGGCAGAACGTTGATTTTTACACGAACGATTTGTAGAGCAAAATGCACGCTAAATTCTCTAGCAATGAATGTGACAATGAAAAATTTTCAGCGCGTACCAAATGCAGAGTAAAGGGTTCTGGTAGGGCCTTGTGCGGAAAATTGGCGACTGTTGTGTTCACAATCAAACAATTTGAGCAGAATTGCAATAACAATTGCGCAGAAAATCTTCCGCCCTGAGGATTAGCACAGCAAACTTTTCACGAGCCCTTGATAATGCAATTACTTCTGTTTGGAATAGAAATGTGCTGTGTGATCCTTTGAACAGAATAACCGGTGACATTTGTTATGTATTGAATAACTTGGCTAACTTGAATAGCTTCGTCTCATTCAGCAAGTTCCAGCTGAATGAGACGAAGTGTATGGAGATGAGGATTTGTCAGAAATCCTCATCTCCTTGCACTCAAGTTTAGTACAAAGGAGTCTCTCGAACTCAATCCTATTGTTATTAATGACAAGCAAATTGATATTGTTTCGAATGCTAAGATCCTGGGTGTAAATGTCTCTCGCGACCTAAAATGGAACCATCATATTGCCGAAATTGTTAAGAAAGCTGGGAAACGGCTGTTTTGTCTCTCTCGTGTAATTCCTCTCTCTGGTGTCTCATTTGTGTTTATCATTATCATTATCATTTATTATTATTATTATTATTATTATTATAATTGTTACAATCATTAACAATATTTGGACGAGGTTGAGTAACATATAGTGATTTGTCAGTGGCGAGCAGATCAATTCAGTTTGCTGAAGCCGAAGGCTAAGGCAAATAATTGATCTGCGAGACACCGACAAATCACGATATTTTGCGATAACCTAGCTCAATAATTGTTTTATCTTTCGATCACCGAATTTTTTTAATGAATATCTTCGGGAAGCGAAGCGTTCTGCCATTTTTGCGCAAGAGAGAACAGCAGAATATTATTTGCAGCCATACACATTCGAACGACATTGCGTATGAGCACTCCATTATTTGTAGGCAGTTGTTTGCAGGTCACGTGGTGGGCTCTCGGCCAATGAAAAGGAAGAAAATTTTACTTGAGTGACAATCATCATTATTTTTCGTCTGTAGACATCAAGATCTGCATAACGAAGCGTTTTACATGGTGAAAGCAAGTTCGTTTTGGCTGGCAGTTAGAGCGGATCTCTTGTGCTCTGTGTTGATCACTGCTGTGGCTTTTGCTTTTGTTCTTCTGTCTCAAGATCCAGGTAAAGGAATGCAGCTTAATTAGATTTAATCAAATGTTCATCATTACTGAAATATTATTGCGTTTTTCCTATACACCAGATAGTAATTTTGAAATCTCTACATCTCGGAACAGCTCAAGTGCAGTCAGCGTGAGAGAATACTGGCAAACTCTGGTTTTAGGCTCGATAAGGGTACATGACTCGGTCTGCAACCACGTGACATGGCGGCCATGTTGGTGATCAAAAAAATAAAAATTATTTCAAAGAATGTACATGAAAATGGATTTTAGTTCTCAGACGAGAGAGATGTTTTTGTTCTTGATCACTAAAATGGCTGCCATGACGTCTCGTGAAAACCAGCAATAACCCAGGTTGAGCCAACTAGGTTGAGCAAAGAGCACTCTTGGCAAAACAATTAAAGGTCAAATATTCAAGGCGCCTATAATCAGAGCTGGATACATTACATATTAAGCGACTACGCTTTTCCGAAAAAATATTAAGAAAACCTAGGTGTCAGAGTTACTTAACTTGGCTACAATAAAACTCCACTCAGAGAAGGGCAACTTTCGAGTCCCTCCCCAACTTGAAAGTTGAATAACTTCTAAACCGCTTAGGTATAACAGCCAAATTCGTAACTTTTCTACGGGAGAAGACACGATGACGTTACATTAGGGCATTTTTACACTAAAATGCAGTATACATATACCTAGTTGTTACAGATAATGATTACATCGTGATCATCACTCGCTACTGCAGAGCATGCGCACTTATTCCTTAGAGGGTTGCGCAAGAAACCTTTCCTACTTATTTCGAGTTGTGCCGACTCCTGCCATGTTAATTTCTCTTCAGCAGACTTGTATTTTAGGGCAATTACAAAATAAGATCGACTTAAGGGAAGTTTTGTGAGCCTGCAAGAGTGAGAAACCACCACAAACCCTTGTTTTCACTAAAACCGCTGGACACAAAACCTCCCCTGGGTCGATGTTACATTGTCACAACCGCATTTCAGGGACGTTTTCGCCCCATGAAAGGTGACCCAAGACAGTATTGGATTCTGGATTCCACGCAGTGGATTCCGGACTCTAATAGTTAGTGGGATTCCTGATTCCTTGAGCTGAATTTGGGATGCGAGGATTTCGAACTGTACGAGCTAAAATTTTCTAGACTCTGGAATCCAGATAACCTTAACGACGGGTCATTATTTATTGCCCGGGGGGAGGGGGGGGGGAGGGAGGAGAGAATTTGGGGCTAAACAAGGCGATTAGCCGATCCCCCCCTTGAATGTTACTTCACTGAAGTGATCCCCCCTAATAACGTTTGATGACTTTCGCGATCCCCCTCCACGTCTTCATTTTCTAAACAAATTTGAGTGGTCTCCCTTCTGAATCCTTCCAAAGTTTTCAGCAATCCCCCCTTTTGGGTTGTCAGTTACGACTGATCCCCCATTTTGTTCTCCTAACAGTCAAGTGATCCCCCCAAAAATACTCCCCCCCCCGCCAGGCGATAAATAATGACCGGTCCCTTACATGGGGCGAGAAGTATATATTAGGCTGATTTAGCAACAGAACGGGAACGTCATTTGACGACGGGAAAGCGCGCGGAAAGGACTAAATTCGACTTCCGGTGCGCAATTTGCAGCTCTGCCATTGGTCAAGCCAGTTGTTTGATTTGTCCTCGCAGTCGTCAACTGACGTTCCCGTTCTGTTGCTAAATCAGCCTATTTAACGCTCCGTCTGCGAAGCACGTCAACCGGATGTGAGCGTTTTTCTCTTTTAATATATCTTAACTCTACCAAATTTGTATTGCTTAGTGTCAATTTACTCTTAAAGAGAGGTTTTGCCCAAGAATTTGTTCAAAATCACGGCGGAAGGGTGCAAAAACTCCACTTCCGGTTGACGTGTGTCGCTCAAAAACATCGTTGCTCAAACTCCTTAAGATGTATACAATACTTTTCTTATAGCATTGACTGGTCTTGTCCTGGTCTACACCATTAACACTGCCAAGATGTGCCAGTTTGCTGTGCGGCAATTTGGAGACGTTGAAAATGCGATGACGTCTGTCGAGCGAATCATGGCCTACACCAAACTGGACACTGAACCAGGGTACAAAATCAAAGCACTTCCGCCAGAGAACTGGCCAAGTGCTGGTCATGTGAGTTTCAGAGATGTTTCGTTGAGGTATTACCCAGGTGGACCAAAAGTTCTGAAAAATTTGTCTTTTGAAATTCAAGAGAAACAAAAACTAGGAATTGTCGGTCGCACAGGAGATGGGAAATCGTCAATTGTAGCGGCTCTTTTACGCATGCCTGAGGCGGACGGAGAGATAGTTATCGATGGCGTCTCAGTAAAAACTATTCAATTGCAAGAATCACGAAAAAGTGTTTCTGTTCTAAGCCAGTCGCCTGTGCTTTTGAGTGGAACCCTTAGGAAAAACCTCGATCCCCTTGAGAAGCACAGAGATGATGAGTTATGGAATGTCCTTGAAGAAGTAAAAATGAAGAAACTGGTGGAGAACCTGGAGGGTCAACTTAACTACGAGCTTTTAGAGAGAGGTGAGAACCTAAGTGTCGGTGAACGCCAGTTGATCTGCTTAGCTCGCACGTTGCTACAGCAAAATAAGATCGTCATCTTAGATGAACCGACAGCATCCGTAGATCCTAAAACAGAGCAAACAATCTGGACAACGGTGCGCGAGAAACTGAGGAATTCCACGGTCATTATAATTGCTCATCGTCTGAACACTGTGAAAGACTGTGACGAAATTTTAGTTATGAAAGAAGGCCAGGTAGCTGAGATGGACTCCCTTGATGTACTACTTAGTCGCGAGGGCGGGATTTTTCACAACATGGCCGCTTCTCAGGATTTATTGTCCTAGTTGTGAATAAGGCCCGGTTCGCAAAATACGTTATAATAATTTATGCCATTAGGTTAGGCGCCATTTACGTCCGGCGCGTGAATTAAAGCCGTCTCAGAGTAGCACCAAAGTCTAAGTGAATTGGGCTAGGCGGGAAGAACGGCTGAGCCGTTCCAAATAGAGATTGACGTTCCTAATTGACTCAGACGCCGAAATTTTCATGTGTTTCATTCGTTATTAGGTTCGGCGTCTGAACCGGGGCTAAATCCTTTCATTCTATAGAAAACAGGAAAGAGTGGGTCCTATGAATTAAGATCGATAAACTTCTTTTAGTATATACCACGTACAAAGATTCTTGAAGCTTATCTAATCAATTCCCTACGATTTTTTGAAGATTAATTTTTCGCATTTCCCTCTTAGGTTAGGATATATTTCGTAGAAAAAGGAAACCTAAAATTATCAGAGAATTCTCATCTGCATAAAGATTTAAAGTTAAATATAAAATTTTCGCGAAAGCCGGCCCTTGAAGCCGTTGTAATTTCTATTAAAACTCAAGTTACCTCCACGATAACCGAAGGCAAGTTTTACAGCGCGGCTTATGCATTTCTAAAGATCTAAAGTACTTTAACTCTGAATAGCCTAAATGTGTTTAAAAATTGAATATACTTAGGTGGTCGTTGTCTATTCTTACTGTTAGAGAGCCATAGAAGCAAGAGAATGACATTCTCCAAATCGTATAATTACAAAATTTGAAAAGAACCATCTTCGGGCATCTGGAACCCCTCTTAAGCAATAACATATATCAAAAACTCTCTCGCAATGTATCATTCCCCAGCCATCATTAATCCGAGAAATATGGAGGTCGTGCTTCAGTGCTTTCTCCTCAGCAAGTTAATTAAGGAACTCCGATTCCAGAATAAATTAAAAATGCAGACAATTATACAGAATTTAAAGTCGAGCTTAAAAAAAATTATTTCAGAGATATTTTTTTAATATTATTTTATTTTTTGAATATTTTTCCTGCCTCGTCCTCTGTATTGGTGCTCGCGCTCTTCTCTCGTTCCCGGCATCCCCCTCTCGCACTTCTCGTTTACCCCGTGCTCCCCATTAAGCCTTGGGAAAGCCTGGGGTGACAGGCAGATATGTATTGTGTCTGTATGTCTAATTCACACAGAATGACCGCTCTAGAATGCCTCAATGATAAATCTTACAACAGCAGCCTCTGTGGAAAATGGATTGCCGGGCTTCCTTCTTTGTGATAAATCTACAAATTTGAACAAAGCACACTTTGAAATGTTATTTTGACTTGTGCATTTTTTCTTATTCTTACTCGTATTTTAAATGCTTTAATTACAGCTTATCTCTGTAGTTATGTAAACTTAATACTGGATGAAAATTTTTTTAATAAGTTGTAATAAAGTAGGTTTTATTTTGCGTTCGCTTTTGTAGTTGTCCTTTAGAAGGATCCCCATACCAATGAAGCCGTTTAACCTTTAAAGCGCTAAGAGTGATCAGCATCAAATTTCTCCTTGTAATATCAATGCTTCGTAAAACAGAGTGGTCATGAGAATTAGCGACATGATCACACAAGATGAATTTGCTTGATATTTTATCAGCTTCTCTCCACTACTTCTGCAGGAAATGAATAGGGGCAACAAATGAGAATTCACATTTTGATCTTAGGGTTTAAAGGGTTAATATCGTTCTCCTGGCAAAATTTTTCAGACCTGCTCAATTCCGAACATAATTTCGACGGTTTAAATCGACCGATCCCGATCCGGCGATCCCAACACGTACGCACAAGGGTCCAGCAGTTGATCATACACGTCAGCGGGAGAGGAACAAGTGGAGCAGTCACAATAGCTGCCTGGCTCACGCCCCCCCCCCAAGAAAAAAAAGACAAAAAAAACAATATTGCCAAAGTTTAATGAAAAAGGATTTTCATCAACATTTAAGAGAATATTGTTCACTTTTCTAACCGAATATTGTCTTTGCAAACAACATCCTAAAATCGCAAGTTTCCATATTTTGTCGGCAATGCTGTTACAGTCGGGAATCGACTGCTAGCCCTTTAAGGAGTCTCTCTTTAAGTCGCTTGCAATTAACTGTTCTATTATTTTAAAAGGGTCAATTTATTTGGTATGTTGAAAGATAATTATTCTAAACGCCGAGCGCTGCTTACATTCTCTGATTGGCTGAAACTTATTAGCTCTAGTGGTTCGATTTCGAAGGTCGCAAAGCAGTGTAAATTTATGGCAAAGAATGCAATTAATGATAGTATTCAATGCCCTAAAACATCCGGCAGTAATTACCGTTGTAGCCTGTTAAGTCTACCTCCATAGAAAAAAACTATCGAATTATATGAAACACCGATTTCGGAGCGTCAAATTTTCTCTTCCCTTCGAATTGGGTAAGCGTTAAGTTAATTGATAAGCCTCCAAAAACCTCCTCGATATTTCTAATATATTGGAGCCCACTCAGATTATAATATTATGTTTTAGTAATTTTGACAAATACAGTAAAAACCTGCGTATAAGAACCTAGGAGGGTGCTAATGGGGGTATCCAATTCTCAGTTAACTACTAATTTTTCGGACAAATATCAGTTAACTACTAATTTTGGTTAGCTATTATCTTTCACTTTCCTGCAGCAAATATTATTCTGTCATAACCCCAATTTTCTTTACTTCAGCACGCCAATCACTTCTGGGGGTAGGCCCTACTTAAATCATGGTATAAATTGACATGAATTCACACATAAACTCCGCCACTGACTGAAAATATGGAAAAGAACATAATTATCTAACCGAAGTAGCAAAAATGGGTAAACGATAGCTATGAAGACTCCTACCTAACGAGTTTTGCCGTTAGTACAAATTTTTTAGATCCAAGTCGTATAACCATCAACATGACACCAGCCTCATAGATCCAGACGCACCGGTGATGATCTCGTACTGATCTTCCCGAACTGGTCATGCATTTCCTGCCATTAAACTACTTCAAAGTCACCTTCTTCGTCACTTTCATTATCTGAATCAGTCACGTACTTATCTGGTTGAAATTACTGCATGTGTTCCGTATCTTGTCGTTGGCCTAAGTTTCAATCCATTTTCAATCCTTGCAATCCATTGTAACAGACATCAATGCCAAAATAGTCTTAAATAACAAAACTGGACCATTATTTTTGGAATTCAACTGATGCAAAAAAAGTTTTAGCTTTTTAGAAAGATAGCAAATAGCATGACATAGTCCTGTGATGCTGGTGGTAAAGATACCCCTTTATTTTGAGTTGATTCGCTTCTTATAGTTTGTTGGCAAACAGGTGGAAGGTTCTCACCCCCATCCCAACTTCATCTTCTTTTGTCATTGTTTACACTGATGGGAGAGACATAGTTGAGAGTGCTAACAAGGGCATGAAAGTATTTGACATGGAACAATTCGACTTTTCGTGAATGTAGCCCATTTGAATTCGTAGTTCTTTTAAGCGATTCCATCACTCTATTTCCAAAGTCTTGGGCGTACTTCAAAGCACTAAATATTTTGTGTTGAATGATGTGAGAAACCGCGTGTAGGTTTTCCACCTGCGTTGTTAGAAGTTTTTTGTACCTCGATACAGACTTTGTCGACATCCTCGTTCGCGTCCCTCACTGTTACCGAGTGCTTCGTGGGTAAACAAATTATAATTACAATTACAATCATAATACAGTTGTGAATAAATAATGAATATAAATTATAAAAAAGGACCAAGCCCAAGTTTATAATATTTTTCTGGTAGTCTCCTTCATAGAAATTGAGAACCTAATTACGAACATACTTAGACAAAATTGGCAATAACTACCCCAAAAGACAATAGACTCGTTTTTGCCCAGACTTGAAAAAAATATATATGAAGTTTCTTGCCCGCGAGTTTTTTTCAGTATTTGACAAACACTCGCACTCGCACAAAATTTTCAGCCTCTGGCCCATGCTAACGAAATGCACTGAAGAGTCCTGCACTTGTCCCCCCCTCTGGGGGGGGGACAAGTTGGCATCCTTTGTGCCAGGCTTAGTGCAGCTTCCTTTCAGTCTCTAGCTATTGTTCAGTTTCCGAAATAAAAAATTGTCCTTCGCCGAAGCCCAATTAACTTGGCCATCCCCCTTTAAAGTGGAGGATTAAGATGGAGAACCAATTAAACAGAGCATACTCCAAATTGGTTATAATTTATTCTATGACTTCTCATAGCGTGAATATTTATTAGATAGAACTGATGTGCTTTTTTGGTGACTGGATCATCTTTAAGAATTTATCAAACATTTTTAGCTGGGAGGAAAGGCTTTTCAAGGGGTATCTGCTCTGATATGGAACTGTGAATTCCAAGTAATGATTAAAAAAAAAAAAATAATAAAAACTAAGAGGGCATAAATTCTCCACTATGAATAAAACAATAATTTGTATACTACTCGTTACTCTCTCGTCTTGAAAGCCACCTTTGTTTTCAGGGATAGAGCCGATGATTGCTTTATGATTATCTATTGTTTCCTTAGCCAATGAAACAGTTCGTTCGGAGAGCGGCTTCATGACACCAGATTCTAAACGAATTTTATATGCATACCTACATATTCGTTGGTCTTTGAAAACACACCTGGTTTCTCTTCAGCGGTAAATTTATCTTATACGAAATAGAGAGTGAAGAAAATTGCTTATGACTGTTATGAAGTTTGGTTGTGCCAGCCGTTTGTGAGGTAAGCCGACCAAAAAATATCTGTCTCCTGCTTCGGATGAAGTAAAATAGTCAATTGAATTTTGAAGTGAATGTTTTCTGTGAAAAGAGGTAGAAAGAATATCTGACGGGCACAGTAAAAGAGCACTTGAACATGCCCCGTTGGCGCCAGAACTAAAAAGAACATTCTCTATGGTTAGGCTTACGTTTGTGTACAGGTAACAATAGACGGTTCTAAGTTGTACCAAAAACAATGTATTGTTCCGCGTTTAATCTAAAACTTGATCGAAACCAAAGAAATTTCCTGAACGAACATACAAAATGGTATTTATTGCTCACATTTTTAATTTCAGTGACTGAATTGCAAATTTTTTCACTTTCGGCTTTTAGCTAACTTTTCCTTTACCGTTTAAAAGAGAAAAATAAAATACATCGGTCCAGATCAGAATGACTCAAATTTCCTTTTAAAAAATATATAAAGAAAATAAAAAAAGAAAAGAAAAGAAAAAGAAAAAGTGTCTAACAAAGCGCTGGCAGAGACGTGTGGCGTCAATTTTCGAGTACCATCGTAGATGTGGGCAGGAGGTTTAGAAGCTAGGTTTGGCAGAAGAAGAAAACAAATGGGATATTTTACACCCCATAAAAAAACTGGAAAAGACGAATTTCTTCCTTAAAAACATGCTCGGAAGATATCAGACTCCAGCAAAAATGATCTTGGCCGATTGTCGAGGAACTTGCAATATCAGCTTTAACAAAAATAAACGAACAGGCAAAGACGGTTATGAGCTTCGAAAAACTGAATTCAGCTTTTGTGTGATATCAATAGTTTCAGACGAACCTCCTCGGGAAGCGACCAACTATCATAAACGCTAATTATCCCTAATCACTAATAAAGAAGGAACCCCTCGTAAACGAATATATCTGATAAACAACCACGGTATCTTGGTTGAGAGTTTTACTCAGTGATTACAATTATTTCTAACCTCTTTCAATCACCAAGTTATTTCTATATTCGCTGTGTGTTTGCTTCTAAAAGTTACAGTGAAATTTAGTGACAAAAGGGAGGTTCACGTTTGTGTACTTCATCTATGATCTAGTGAGTTGATGTGTCATGCCTGTTTCTGTGGGATACCACCTGTGGAAGCAAAAATATTCATTGTCATTTTTATTTGAGGTGATCGCTTACTGGAAGTTCCACTGAATGCCCATTTGAGAGGGTGTTATCCGATTCAACCCAAAACATCCTTCTCTACCTGCAGTTATAAAAAAATTGAAAATTTGTCCTTTTTCACAATACTGCAAGGTCCACCCCCTCTCTACATTATTGAAGTGATTTATTCGACAAGAGGACCGAGCATAATCCAAACTGCAATCACCATTCAATTTATTTGATGCCTTGTTGAGATGCTTAAATGCTAATGAGTGTTAATTAGAATTATCTGGGGAATTTTCCGCCAGGCCTAGGTGTTTTAATATATTTTTCTTACCTGAGAATAAATGTTAAAAGAGCGTAATCCATTCATCCATGCATCCATCCATTCATCCATCCATCGATCCATCCACCCGCCCACTCATCTATCCATCCATCCACCGACCCACCGACCCACCCATCCATTCATCCATCCATCCACCCACCCATCCATCCATCTATCCACCAATCCATCCACCAATCCATCCACCTACCCACCCACCCAACCACCCACCAACCCACCCTCCTCAATACGGAGAGCAGCAAGGTAGAAATTTCGAACTCGCCTCCTCATATTAATTGCACTTGTTGTAACCGCTCATATAAGACTTGCCCCTCATGACTAGCTTTTTAGTCCCAATAGTGTCTAACGTCAATTTTCTCCCAACGATATTTATACAATGTCTAGAGATTAGGTTATGAGAATTAATAAAATGATCACCTAAGGGAAAATGCCTTGATCTTTTACCAAATTCTCTCAACTTATTCTTGAAGGAAATGTATAGAGATCAGTTTGGAGAATTTGTATGTGGATATTGGGGCTTAAAGGGTTAAACGAGGGTGCCAATGGGTTAGTAGTTAACTGAAGTTTGGTCTAAAAACAGTAGTTAACTGATAATTGGCCCAAAAAATTAGTAGTTATTTGAGAAATGAAAATTTAACAGCTAAGTGAGATTCTATTAATTATACTGAATACGATTTTTCACGCTAATGAAAGCGACAAAGTTTTGCAAACAGAAATCCTATATTTTCTGACTTTTTTCTGTCCCGCTGATGACCTGGTGGCAGCGTATCACCCGGCAAACAGAAAGCGTCAGTCATGGAGCTGGTTGTAGACAGCTCAACAAATAATTCGTCTTCTAATATTAACAAGATTTCTGTGTTCGGAAAAGGAAAGTACTGTTTTGACGGATTCAAAAGATCGTCAAGTTAAACATTGCTAACCAAAGAAAAAAGCTGTGACTCTTATCCGGCATTGGATCTGACCAAAACTACGTTCTGATGGCTCAAAGAAATCAGCATCTTTCTTTTAAGTACATTGAAACCTCTTAAGCGGACACCTTCGGGACCTTCCCAAGTGTCGGCTTAATAGAGGGTGCCCTCTTAATAGGGGCTTTAAAAATTGCGCAATGTTTGTTAACGATAAACATTCAACGGTTAATCTGTACTGTGATAAAGTTGCATGTGGTTAAAGAAGCTAGCCAGAGTTCAAGTTCATTACCTTTCAGTGGAATACGAACAAAATCCAAAAACAGATATCTCAGCGTTGAAATCCGTTTTCGGATTTCGCGTTCGATTGCAAATCCGAAATCCGGATTTTCAAAATCTAAATCCAGATTTCCCAATCGAACGTACCCTAAGACGATATTTTGGTATTGATTTTGTTTTCCGTCGTCTGTCTGTCGCAATGGATTGCAAGGATTGAAAATGGGCTATTGAAACTTAGGTAAACAAGAAGGTACAGGACATACAGCAACCAGTTAAGTACGAAACTGATTCACATAATGAAAGTGACGAAGAAGGTGACTTAATTTGAAGAAGTTTGTAGCAGGACATGCATGATTAGGTCGGAAAGATCAATACGAGAGCATGACTGGTGCGTCTGGATGTACGTGGATGGTTATACGACTTAATCCAATTTGAAATTACAGCAAAAATCGGTTAATAGGAGTCTTAATAGCTATCGCTTACCCATTTTTACTACTTCGGTAAGATAATTATGTTCTTTTAATTTCTATATTTTCAGTTACTAATAAATGGTACTGGTGGCGGAGTTTATGTGAATTCATATATAAGTTTAACCCCTTCAACCCTAACATCAAAATTCAAATTCTCAGTTCTCATCCCTATACGTTTTCAATAGAAGTAGTGGGGAGAATTTGTTGAAGTATCAATTGGATTCATCTTGTGTGATCATGTCCTTAATTCTCATGACCACTCTGTTTTATAAAACGGTGATATTACAAGGAGAAATTTGACGCTTATCACTCTTAGTGCTTAAAGGGTTAAACCTTGATTTTAGTAGGGCCTGCCCCCGAAAGTGATTGACGTGCTGAAGTGAAGAAAATTCGGTTTATGACGGACTAATATTCGCTGTAGGAAGTGAAAATTAATTGCAAACCAAAATTAGTAGTTTACTGAGAATTGGCCAAAAAAATAGTAGTTAACTGATATTTGGCCGAAAAATTAGTAGTTAACTGAGATATTTGGTGAACAGCAAAAATTAGTAGTTCCCTGAAAAAGAACTGACGACCGGAAATTCTGCTGTTCGCTTAAACGGATTAGTTATGTCATGAGGATTTTAGGTCAATTCCGGACTGAAGTCATTTCTTGGAGCTTTATCTACGCAAAAAATGCCCCTGTAAAATTATGAAGAAGATATATGACCTGAATTTCATCAGGGAGTACTACTAATAATTTTTTGGGTAATTCAGTTTGTAGGCAAGGCGCATTAAAACTATAATTCGGTTGGCCTAACTTTTTCAATCCATTTTTTTGATCGGTAGCAACAATTCAGTTTGACCATAGGAAAGTTGATGTCGCATTAAAAACTATGATTCTCAAATCTGATTGGTTCTCAACTTTTTTCATTCCAGCCTTTTTAGGACAGTTTAATAGGACAGTACGATCGGTACGCGCCATCACGCGCGCGCTTAAATGGCTTTTTTTTTTTCAGCTAACGAAAAAATCTTGGAATTTCTTGTGTTTTGATTTTAAAAGGCCCTATATATCAAATTTTGTTAAACAAAAAAACTGGACCATTGTTTTTAGAATTCAGTTGATGTCTTATAAGAAGATTAATAGGGCTCAAAATAATGTTCCAACGGTTGCCGGAAACATTGAAGCGACAGGGACCGCGGAGCAAGGTGAAAAGTGGGAGGGCTGACAATTGAAAATAATTTTTTCATATTGAAAATCGAAAAAAGGAATAAAATCATAGTATTTGATTTGTTTCTGTCGCGTGACTTTGCATACTTTATCCAGTATTTGTTGCTCTTTATAGGTCGGCATTAGTCAAGATACCGAAATTCTTCATACGATTTTCATTCCGTCCAGCAAATGTGTTTGCGATCTGAATCACGTCCAAACTTTCTGTTAATTTCTTATGACAATTAAATACTGTCAAGTTCCTGAATTGCTGCTTTTTCATGTTCGATCTCACAAGTAGTTGTCGTCTTTTCTGCAGAGCTTACAGACTTTGACGAAGTCCCAGATAACTCTAATAAACGACCAACATACACTGTCAGTTCAGATTCAATGCAAGAAAAGACGCGATTACAATTTTAGTATAGAAAATACTACACTGAAGTGATCTGAAAAATTTCTAACTATGGCCGGTCACTGTTCAAGTAATGTAATTCTTCTTGCCATCGAATAATTCATTGATTCGAAAGGAGAAAGACAAAATATAAAACTTATCAACTCAAAACAACTACTCTTTTTCGTTTGGCTTGAAAAAGCTGGTAATTTTCTTCTTTTCCTCTGATAAAACTGATAAAAAAAAACCCTAATATGGGCTATATAGGTATGTGCGGCCCCAAAGGGTAGGGTTTTTCAGCCGTTTTGGTCATAAATTGGGTATCGATTTTGGCTATTTTGCCGCCATTTTGGTCATAAATAGGGTAACTATTTTTGCACTGTAGTCTTGAATGCACTTTTTTAGAAGAAGCTACTTCCTTATGATGTCCCCCTAACCTAATAAAAGCAGATAAACATTGCCTTTAACATTGGTCTAAACTAGGGAAATAATTATAAGGCAGATCTGAAACAGGGTATTGATTTAAGGGTCAGGTCATAAATAGGGTATCAAATTTTTGGTTAGGTCATAAATAGGGTAGGGGGGTTTTGGGAAGAGTAAAAACACGCCGGAGCTGGAAGTAAAAAACACGCTGCCGAACGAAGTGAAGGGGTGGTCAAGGCATGGCGTTTGATCAAGGGGCAAGTCGGCCCCGGGGCACAATTACCGCGAAAAGCACTGGAGCCCCACAAAATGCCTGGCATTTGAAATTAAAGAAAATACAGAGAATATAGCGGATATAGACGGAAAAAAACTTGTTTCAAGTCTTTTTTTATTTAATTATTTTTATTTTTTGCGTAAAAAGTGGGGGCGGGGCAAAAAAGTGGTGGGGCCGCGGCCCTACCAGCCCCCCCCCCCCCTCCGCGGTCCCTGAGCGATTGCCGGGTTTTTGGTTTATGGTTTTGAACTTAAGTGTCGACTTCAATCCAATAGCTAGAGTATCGAATAGAAATCCGCGAATTTTCGGGTCAATTTAGGTTGCTGGGAAACTACCCACCTACCCCTCGCCTAAGCTAACATTAACACTTACCTCTCGCTCAGGGCAAAATGATGGCTTAGGGGAGGGGTAGGTGAGAAGTTTCCCGGAAACCTAAATTGATCCAATTCTTCGCTTAAAAATGGATTTAGGGGAGCGGAGCCTCCCCGTATAGAAATTTGTTGAGTACCCCACCCTCTCCCCCCGAGTAAAATCTTTGCTTTTATGATAGCATGAGCATAACTGAAGGATAAGAAGTTCGTAATATTTAGCTTCATAACCTCATACACATATCACGTTGGGTAAATATGGTTGCATGATTGAGCAATAAGTCATCAGAAGTGTTTGGATAGTCGGTATTTCTGAGCTGAAAAGGGTAATATTTTAAAGAAACGCATGCTAAGGGTAGATAGCAAAGGTAAAAAAGCAATCGTTGGTAAAGCCTGGCTCAGGTTCCTCGAAAGACGGTTAATTTTATCTCAGGATTAAGCCAAATTTTAAGTAAATAAGGGTTTCTTCAATTCCCTAAGAACATGCAACTCGAGGTTACAAAATACTGTTGCGCCGTTACTCCGAGATACAGTAGGGATAACCAGGGGCGGATCTAGGGGGAGGGTGCAGGGGGTGAGCACCCCTCTCCCCTGAGATGACCTGGGGTTTTCTAATACAACTGGTATTCTGCAAAAAAAAAAAAAAAACTATGTGGTTTATTGGTGTTGAAGTAGAGCAAGAGACAAGTGCACCCCCTCCTAAAAAAATCGTAGATCCGCCCCTGTGATAACACAAAATATGTGACTCTAAGCAATACATAGGAAGGTAAAATACAAAAATGAAACAGAATTTTAATCCTGGATTACCGCTACTCGGCCTTTCAGGCACCAGACTCTGGCGTTTAATAGTTTTGGCATTCAATTAACATAATTTCTCGCATATTTTTAACAGAAAAATGCCCAAGAAAGGTTACGGAGCAATAAAACCAGACGAAGATGATGATGACCATTCCACTCATCCTGCGAAATCTGCCAACTATCTTTCACTTTTCACCTTTTGGTGGATGAACAGCACATTCAGAACAGGAAACAAGCGGCCATTAAACCAATCAGATTTCTTGCCGTTGAACGAGGAAGACAGAACACGTGACCTAACAGAACGTCTCAAAGATCTGTGGAATTATGAAGTACATCATTGCAGTACGACTCCTGGTGAACAACCAAAGCTATGGAAATGCCTTTTAAGAATGCTGTCCTATCGAGAAATGATCTTCCTTTTGTTTTTTTGGTTCCTGGAGAGCATATTCCTATTGTTAGTTCCACTGGGGCTCGGGCTGCTTCTTTCGTTGTTAACGGCGACAGAACTGAATCGACCTCTAATATACGGCTGCTGCTTGTTCATTGGAATGGCGGGCGTGTTTTCCGCCACCACACATTACTCTGCTTTTAAAAGCGATGTTGTGGGTATGCGCTTTGCCGCTGCCATCAGAGGAATTATTTATAAAAAGGTGAAGTAAGATGTCACTCAGAGACTGTTTTTGTTGTTCTTTCATTACAATGTCAAAATTGTTAAACATAATAATCATCATAATTCATGTATAAATGCCTAAAAAATACCTTAAACCTTAAAGGGTTACCATTTCAGGCGGAGCCTCCATCCCGGTTCGAAAGGTAGATCAAGGAAAGAATATGTATCGACTGAAACGAACCCCCCAACCATGAATAGGCGAATCCTTATTATGAAGCTAATAAAATGAAATATCTGAATATTGAAAGAGCATACCAATTTCAACTATCTTTTATTGATTGCATAAGACATCTTTCTACATCTTTCAACTTATAAACGCTCGCTAAAGATGACTAGGCATAACCTCTGTACAAACTCGCCTCCCCCCCTCCCCACGCTCAGGAAAAATCGGAGAAGGGGCGTCTGTGATTCACTGTCACTAATCCTCCATTTCCGATTTTTCCTGAGTGGAGGGAGGTCTGTACACAGGCTAACCCAGCAGGGATGGTGATCTTTCTACCAGGTACAGATTTCCACCATATGAAAGTGACGTAAGATTTACTGATTGTGGCATTTGAACTTAATAATATGATAATAAATACATTTTAATTTGCAGATTCTTTCGCTCACTCAACAAAGCCGAATGAAAACAACAGCGGGGAATATCATGGACTTGCTATCAAATGATTGTCAGAGAATAGAATATGCTCCTAGAATGACGTGTATCTCCTTCTTCTTTGTTTTCGATATCGTCGTTATATTTTTTATAGTAGTTTTTCTCATGGGTTGGCAAGGACTAATTGGAGTTGTTTTCATGACAGCATTACTTCCTTGTGTCTTGATTATCTCAGTTGCATGTGCTAAACTACGTCGGGAAACCGCTGAAGTGTCAGAAAAGCGTATTTCGCTAATGAACGAACTTGTGACTGGTATCCGTGCCCTGAAGACACATACGTGGGAGGAATACTATGAAGAAAAAGTGAAGGAAGTTAGGAGGTGAGAGGGTGTCCGGTCGTCTCGCTACAGAGTACAGTCGTTTCGCAACAAGTCGTTTCGCTGCATAATGAAGTCGATTTGCGGCGAAGTTGTAAAGTCGTTTCACTGCATCAAGAAGTTGAAAACTGCTTCAAAGTTTGCTGTTGTCCATTTAAGGTGGCTCGTACTAGTTTTCTCGCTTGGGGAGTCCATCGCGCGCGCATCCCACTCCACTTTGTACGCGCGAGATAAAGAAAAACAAAAATGGTGACGCCCGGCTTTCTTTGTGCAAGTTTTGATACTTTCGTGTGAGGTTTCTTTTGGGTTGTTTAAATAAAATTCGTGTTTATCTAATTCTATTTACACCGTAAAATCCTGTTTTAACTATATATTTTCAAGAAGACAATTATTTCTCCGCTCAATGCGTAAGTTTAAAAAAGGAATACTTGCATGCGATGTGCACTGCCATCGATCGTGAAAGTGATTAGAAGACAAATGACACTCTAAGTACTAGCAAACCTACAAAAATAATAAACTAGAATACTACCACAATTAACCACTTTTTATCTTCCTGGCAACAATTTCGTCGCTTGGATCATGTAACGCGTAACGTCCTCACAAGAACGACGAAGGAAATTGAAAACTTTAACTTTTTCTCGGCCACTTCGCTTTGTCGCTTGATCTTGAAAAGAGCGTCCAGAAGGCGATGTTTCAAGTTACTAAACTTAACACTGGACGGGAAAACCTGATAACAATGCGTAAATTGGACGCATGTAATTCTTATCTTCTCTGCAATGACTGTAAACAAACTCAATGGATGCCTGCTAGTGTACACGCAACAGCCAGCGGTAGTCAACACAGCGCATAAGTAACCCATGTTCTTATAGAATTCAGATTTTACAAGCACGAAGACACGGGTGGGAATTTGTGAAATCTCGAAGTATTTTACAAGAAAACTAGTCGGGTGACCCCCTATTTTCATTCCTTTAATATTTTGTCAGAGTTGATGGGTTGTCAGAGTTTATTTTTGTCAGAGTTGAACGCCAGAGAAAAAATAAAAAAATTCTACGGAAGGAAATTTCTACTGAATAAAAATGTCCTATTTTCAACTTTCGCAAAAAATCCGCTCCATGGAATTTTTTTAAAATCACTGTGTATTTTCCTTTTCTAATATCAAAAGTTGTCGTCCAAAAAAATTAGGGATCAACGGCTTAGTTTTCTAGTTATCAGTGCTGGAAGCCAAAAAGTAGGTCCAAATAATTCTTAAGATACATTGCCAAAGTACTTGCTAATGACGAGATATGGTTGTTTTAAGTCAAGGATTCACTGTATAATAAAACTTTACAGAAGCGCTGCCATGGCTTTGGATTGCTTTTTTGCTCTGTCCTTTTAAAGTAAAAACTCTGAAAAAAAAAAGGGAAACTAGTACGAGCCACCTTGATTTTCGTTGATTAACTCAGTGAAATGGTGATTAATTCGTTAGTATTCACCGTTTGAGGTTAAGTGTTTTTCTAACCAGTTTATACAAAAAGTCAGTTTCAGTACCATCCGGACATGATGCAGCGAAACGACTTTGCAGCGAAACAACTTGTAGAAAAACGACTTTGTAGCGAAACGACTGGCAAACGGTGAGAGAGAGCCACCTCTCTATTATTGAATTCCCATATACTCTGGTAGGCCCCTAAATCTAAACAAACAATTGTTTTCAGAGAGGACCACATATTTCCGAGTGAATTTGTAAACAATAACTTGGGGGGGGTGGCAAGCAGCGTGTATTATGGGGATTCGAAAATAGTCATCGTATATGGACAATGTTTATTAGATAAACAGTCATTTAGAGTACAGTTCATTGTAAATGGTCTTTTGGTTTAAGATGAAAGGATGACCTTTTAATTTATCCAGAAGATATAACATGACACACGAGGCGTCACAAGGCTTTATGTGGACCACTGATTATCTTACCTTATATGACGTCTTATGTGGCCCATAACTTATTGCCATTTTCCTACAACTAACAGAATTCATTTCGTTTTTTCTCCTTTCCTTTTGAAATAATTGAGGTTTTAAATAAGCAACAATAGCAGCCGTAATTTTCATAGGAAAACGACAGATTGAAGCATTCTGGTAGTTGTGAGTAGTACGATAGCGTCTTCGTGCAATTGTCTCATTGAACATTTTGAAACGATTCCTGGCAAAGTAAGGCCAAAGGCCTTCCCCAGCGAGGTTTATATTAGCACGAGACAATGAGACAATGCCCAAAGAGCATTCGAACGCTACTCTGCGAGGCAAATATGTCGTAATTATATTTAGTTTTTCTTGTGTCAAACAAAGTAGATTCATCGCATCTATTCAATAATAGATCCCAGATGTCAAAATATGGCTAGAGCACTTAGTCTAGTGGCACTTGCCTGGGGCTTCTTGGCCTGATTCTCAGACGTCCTATGTCGATCTCGAATCCTTCGCTTCCTCTACCTTTTCCGAGGGGAGACGTACAAGAGAAGGGGCTGTGAACGACCTCGGACGTCTGAGAATCAGGCTAGCGGTTTGTTTGCCCCCTTTTTGGCTTGCCGTATTTTCACTTTCACCCCAGCGATCAATTACCCAATAAACGCATGGCAACATAGAATCTATTTGTTTAGCAAACGGCAGAATGAATCCCCTGTTCCACGCCGTATATCATTCTCTCTTACTACTGTATTAATAAGGTCAACAAAGAAATTAAGGAGAAAGCCAGGGCCGAACTTTTAAGTTAAAACAACTCCCATCGTAGCTGCATTCTAATTTAAAGGTCTAAAACGTTTCTTCCGGTTTCGCCAAGAACCCTTGTCGCCTCATCTTCTTCTTTCACCTCATATTTAAATACGTTCTTCCAAAAATGACCTCAAAAATCGAGGTTTTTAGGTACTTCACAAGGCAAACATATTATCAAAACCGTGCGCGATGGATGAGATGAGACAAAGAAAACAGTTTATTTTCTGCGAAGTAAACAGACAGTGAATGTGTACTCTGATTTACTCAATGAATATAAATACATTGATCTATCACTGTAGTAAGCACAAGGCATTCAGTACATTGTCACTGAAATTGTTGAAAAATGGTAACTAAACTAACAAAATATACTCCATGTGGATAGCATTCTTTTTCAACACCTGAATAACACATATCATAAATTGCTTTTATTAAGTAAAATGTAACAAAATATGTGTTCGTTTATTTTTCAGGTCGGAGATTTGGGTTATTCTAAAAAAGAGTACGCTGTTGTCTTTTGTGCAGAGTGGAGAACAGACGTCAGCAAGCATTGCGACGTTCCTATCCATGATCTGTTTCGTCTTAACCGGTCATTACATTTCGACTTTTAAAGCGTTCACGGTTCTCGCCATATCAAACGTTCTTACACAGGTTGTAGTTACCAGAGTAGGAGTCTCTGCCCCATGGTTATTTGAAGTGTTTGCCTCTCTTGAGAGAATAGAGTCTTTCCTTTTCGTTGACAAATTGCCACTCGAAGACAATCACACCTCCTCCAGTCAAGAAAGCCCTTATATAAAACCAGCCGCGGAGGTTAGTTTACAAAAAGATCATCAGACTGTTGAAACAAGCATGGTTAAAAACCATGAAAAGATTACAGATTCAGTAAACCTTTCTGTCTCAAATCTCAGGTGCAAACTGAATGGTTCTGGTGGAGATTCGTTCCTTCTTCAAGACATAAATTTCCTCGTCCGTGAGAAAAGTCTCACCGTTATTACGGGGCCAGTTGGTGGTGGAAAGTCAACGCTTCTGGCCGCTATCGCGGGTGAGGTGGTTAAAACAAGTGGTAATATAGTCTGTCCTGGATCTGTAGCTTATATGCCTCAATCAGCTTGGGTTTTTTCTGGGACTCTTAGAGAAAACGTTCTATTTGGTGAACCGTATGAAGAGAAAAAATACGCCGAAGTTTTGAATGCGTGTGCCCTGGTTCAGGATATCAACAGATTTCCAAGTGGAGATCTTACGTTTGTTGGAGAACATGGTGTCGTTTTGAGTGGAGGCCAGCTTGCCCGTGTCAATCTTGCACGCGCAGTGTACGCAGAGGCAGATGTTTATCTGCTGGATGATCCTTTAAGCGCAGTGGATGTTAAAGTAGGAAAACACATATTAGAACAGTGTATCTGTAAGCTTTTACGAGACAAGATTAAAGTACTGGTGACGTACGCCGAGAATGGTCTGAAAGCAGCCGACCAAGTTGTTGTTCTTCATAAGGGATGTCTGGTAGGCCAAGGTACCTACCGTGAACTGCAAGGGGATGAAAGAATTTTAGATATCATTCGGGCTGGTTCAATTACCTCTGACAGCGAAGACGAGGCGAGTTCCGAAGAAAGTGAGGAAAAGGAAAGACCTCCTTTGTATAACAAAGACGGCATGGACATTGTCGCCAGTGACAATTTGGAGCTTGCCGAAGAAGAAAGAGCCACAGGAGATATTTCATTTGCTTTGTACTGGAAGTACTTTAGAACTGGAATGCATCCCTTTGGACTTGTATGTCTTCTTCTCTTTACTGTGTTCAGTCAAGGTAAGGTGGCCTACTATACTAGGCTGTGTTTAATCAAAGTCCCGGATTGTCAAACAGGTTGATTGTAAATGACTATGGTGGGGGAATGGGGCGGGTTTGTGTTTAGGAGGGTTTGTAAACGGAGGGGTTTATATGGCAGTGGGGAAGCTTATAGCTGCAGTTTACAGTACTTCAATCATAGGCCTCCAAAGTGCGATTTGAGGGAAAGACCTGTCCTTATTACTACAGTGGAACCTCGATTTAACGAAGCGCCAAGGGACTGGCAAAATATGTTCGCTATAACGAGGTTTCGTTACATCTAGGTTCTTTTCCATATATTTTTCTATTACTGGGGTAAAGAAAATCTTTCGTTATATCAAGGACAACGTTATGGAGAGGTTCGTTATATCGAGGTTCCACTGTATTACAATACAGGAAGAATTCACATTTTGGGGTTGACAAACCAATAGCCTGGTTCACATTTGATCTTGACGCTCTTTGCCAGTTTCGTGCAATTCATGCGTTTGCATGTTTGATATTTTACACAATTCGAGTATTTAAAAACCCGGCCTGACTTTTTTTAAATGATTAAAAGTTTCAAAAATCGGAGAACCGAAGAAACAATGTAAAAAAGTCAACCACACTCTTCATTATTTAATACTTCTTCATTAATTTTTACTATTTTCGTTATCTTCCTCTCTTCTCTGCAGTTGTTCTGGTGTCACCTAATGTTTGCCTTTCCTACCTGACAAAATCGTCTTGGAACAAACAACAAGATCCGACTTTCATTCACGTTTATGTCGCTCTTATCGTTGCTGCCGTTCTTGCTTCTACCACACGTGCCTGTCTTTTAATTCAACTTCTACTCAGATCAGCCCAAGCTCTCCACGACAGGATGGTCAAATGCCTGTTAAAAGCTCCAGTATTGTTCTTCGACACCAATCCTGCCGGGAGAATACTCAACAGGTGCTCTAAAGACATTGGCTACATTGATGAGATTTTATCCCAGACCTTTCTGGGAGTCATTCAGTTAATTTTCATTGTTCTAACTGCACTGGTATTGCCTTCATTAATAATCCCTTGGTTTGTCGTCATCACCTTACCAGTACTAGCTGCTTTCGTGTACCTGGCAAAATATTTTTTGAAATCAGCGCGGGAGCTGAAGAGACTGGAGGCAATCTCTCGTAGTCCCGTTTTCTCTCTTTTCTCGGAGACCATGGCTGGTTTAAGCACCATTCGCACTCGAAAGAAGGGGAACGATTTTCTAGAGCAATTTTACCAGTAAGTGCATCTTTTATTCGTCACAAAGGCCATTCCTTTATCCTGCTTTCAACACGAGCTTAAAAGTCTTCGCCCCCCCCATCCCTAGCGTTCAGGCGTACGTAGCTTGTTCCAGGCTCCCGGTTGTTATGTGTAGAGACAGTGAAAACGGATGCGAAAATCGTGCGGAGAACTGCGAAGAATGCAGGCTTCGCCCCTTTCCCCAGATCATGAGGCACGCCCTGTTTTGCATTCGGTCTTCTTTTGTTTTGTTTTGTTTTTTTTTTTGGCGAGGTCCCTACTATCTGAGAGCTTGACACAGGTTTCATCGAGCTGTTGATAAGCGCACCCTTTTCCAAATTTTAAGTTCGTGAATAGTAGGGGACAGGGAAAATCAAGCAACTTTGTTTTTATTATGTGCAACTGCAAATGATAACCGACTGAATTGAAGAATAGTAGCTTCTGTGTGTTCAATGGTTACATTTAGCTCTGCTTCATAAAATAATATCACACGAGGCTGCACAGCAGCTAAGAAAACATTCTGACAACCTCGTCCACAGGGCGCTTTTCCCTCACCTCCAAAGCCAGGGAAAGCGCCCTGGGGACTTGGTTGACATCTTGGGACAAATTGTTGAAGAAGTAATTTACTATGAAACCGTCGAGCAGTAGGGTCAAACAAGGCTTGTCGCGTGAAGTCGGCGAAGCATAAAACGACTCACTGTGCGACAGTGACTGAATTTAAAATAGAGACGAATTATTTGTCTGGTCTAGGACGGATAAATCGTTTAGATACAAATCCGGTGTTTAGACGTCACAGAGGTGGCTCTTGCGTGCCGTATTTTTGACTTTTGGCCATCAATGGGGCATGCGCGTACGAGGTTATGTTTACACTATACCAGAGAACTTTTCGTGCCGCCACAAAAGCATTCTCGTCCCCGGAACCCGTCGTTTCTTGGTCACGTGAATGGCACAAAAGCTATCTGGTACAATAGTCTTACAATGTGAACATTGCCTAATTGTTATTGGCTCCCTAGACATCAAGATCTACATAATCAAGCGTATTACATGGTGACAGCGAGTTCGTTTTGGTTGGCAGTTAGGGCGGACCTCTTGTGCTCTGTGTTGATCACTGCAGTGGCTTTTACGTTCGTTCTATACACTGAAAATCCAGGTAAATAACTATACAAAAAAAATACTTTTTAAGTGTTAAGAGAAGAGGTATTTTGGCCATGAATTAATTTCACACCCGCGGTGGCATATGCAAACGAGCAATAGATTTAAGTTTGATATGCAGTTAGGTCTTTGAAGATCGGAGCATCCCGGCCTAGTAACGTGATTTGTCCGGCATGGAAAAATTTTGTTGTTTGGTATTTACCAAGAGAAACGAACTCTTTAGAAGAGTAATGTTGCTTAAAAGTGTGAATACTATATATTATGGGTAGCACTTTGGCCAAGTTTGGTTGATTTGTATGAGAACATCAGTTTTCGAATATGACGCGTTTGTTAAGGGTCTGTTTAGCAAAATGTTTGCCATTTTGGCGACGGTCATTACCATTAGAGTGTATCAACAAACTTCAAAGAAGGAGAAAAGCCTGGTTTTGTTTACGCATAAGAAGAATATTATTTGCAGCCAAGCACAAAGCCAAACACGAAGCCAAACAAGCCAAACACAGTTTGACGACATTGCGCATGAGCAGACCATTACTTGTAGGCAGTTATCTGCAGGTCACGTGGCGGGCTTTCGGCCAATGAAAAGGAAGAAAAATTTGCATCGAATAATAAATCGATTTAGTATTGTAATGCGGAAGGTTGTAAGCTCAAACAGGTACTTTTTTAACTTATTGGGGAAAAATTTGTGTCCATATTGCTGAGTTGTTTTTTTTTCAATGATTGATTTAAGTGTTTAAACAATCCAAAAACAGACACGCTATATTCGAAAAGGCTCTCATAGAAATCAACCAAACTTGGCCAAACTGCCAAAGTGCTACCCATAATGTACAGTATTCATACTTTTAAGCGATTATTCTTAAGAGTTTTAATCCCTCGGAAAATACCAAATAACAAAAGTTTCCCATGGCAACGTTGCGTTGCTAGGGACACTTTCCAATCTTCAAAAACGTAACTGAATATCAAACTAGCTATAGCTAGTTTGCATGTAACATTGATATTTCGAAAATATCATGTGTAATTGTTATTCTTCATGGTTGAAAATTTGAAGCGAGGCACTTGAAAAACCTCAACAACGAGCCACTTTGAAATAACTGAGAATTAAAGGTCACTATCAGTGGTTCCTCCTTTGAAATGCAAAGGCCATAGACCTTCGCATGGCTCGGATGATTGTGACCTCGTAAAATAAGGCTCCCGTCTCCAGTAGAAAACGTAAAAATAGAGTCCTCAATTAGCAACTTTAGTGCTAAACACATTGACATTCAAATTTTGTAAATTTTTTGCGGCATGACTCACGCTTGACTGGCCACATGCTAATCTTGCAAAGAGATGAAAATCTCCCCGGGGAAAATCTTAAGAACACTCATTGTCCCTTAAATGTGTCTGTTTCAACCCATCCAAAGGCCTCGAAGGTACAAATTGTCCGCCAAGGCTCGGAAGCTGAAGATAAATATGGTATTCATAGACAAGTTTTTTCAATTCAAATTTAATAATGATCACTGACATTCTGTTAACGTTACTTTTTTTTTTGCAGCTTTTATCGGACTTTCACTGGCATACGCAGTTCAGACTGCCAAGAAGAGCCAAGTTGCTGTGCGACAATTTGGAGACATTGAAAACACGATGACATCTGTCGAACGAGTCCTAGCCTATGCAAATATCGAATCTGAGCCAGCTTACAATATCAAAACATGTCCGCCATATAACTGGCCAAGCGCTGGTCACGTGAGCTTCAGAGATGTTTCGTTAAGGTATTACCCAGGTGGACCAAAAGTTCTAAAGAATTTAACCTTTGATATTCCAGAGAAACTGAAGCTAGGAATTGTTGGCAGAACAGGAGATGGAAAATCGTCCATTGTAGCAGCAATTCTACGCATGCCTGAGGCTGATGGCGAGATAGTCATCGATGACGTCTCGATCAAAAACATTCAATTACAAGAATCAAGAAAATGTATTTCCGTTCTCAGCCAATCGCCTGTCCTCTTAAGTGGAACCCTTAGAGAAAACCTGGATCCTTTGGAAAAGCACGGAAATTATGAACTGTGGAAGGCCCTTGAAGATGTGGAAATGAAGGAATTGGTGGAGAGCCTTGAGGGACAACTTGACTACGAGCTTTTGGCGAAAGGTGAGAACCTAAGTGTCGGTGAACGGCAGTTAATTTGCTTAGCTCGCACGTTGTTACAGAAAAATAAGATCGTCATCTTGGATGAACCTACGGCTTCCGTAGATCCCAATACAGAAGAAAAAATCTGGATCACCGTGCGTGACAAACTGAAGAATTCCACCGTCATTACTATAGCTCATAGGCTGAACACTATCAAAGACTGTGACATAATTTTAGTACTGAAAGAAGGCGAAGTGGCTGAGATGGACACCCTTGATACACTGCTTAGTCGAGAGGATGGAATTTTTTATAATATGGCCGCTTCTCAAAATTTATTATCCTCGCTGTCATGAATGCTTTCTTTTATTAGAGAAAGGTTAGAATAGATTATCGCCGCAAGGAAGGGAATCCAGGACACTCTCTTGATTCCAGTCTTTGTCAATGGAACTCAGATTCTGGATTCCAATCTTTAGTAGGATTCCAGATTCCTCGAGCTGTATTCCGGATTCCAAAGCCCAGGATTCCTGATTCCATAAGCAAATTTTCAAATTTTCGTGGATTCGGAATTCCGCAAGCAAATATTTCCCGGATTCCGGAAGTCCTGATTCCCTTACGTGGGACGAAGGTTAAATTACAGTCTTTTGAAACTTTCTCTTAGGTATTTTCGTATAGCCTGAAATTCATCCGATTGCTTCGAGTCGTTTTCTCCTCTCAACAACTACTGAGGGAGTAATAACGACTCGAAGTAATCGGATGAAATTCAGGCTAATTTTCGTAGGTGTTGCCATTATTTATCATTATTTTTTTCTAAGCTTGCGGTCGGGCGGAATCCTCAAAATCCTGCAATCTGATTGGTTCCGAGAGCGTGCGGTTTTTTATGATCTTGCCCGCTAATCCGGGCGGAATCCGAGTCGTTGGCAGGAGCTTTATTCACAAGTTTGTTTGTTGTTTTTGAATGAGCAAAACCGGTGATTTTTCAACATTTTTCTTCTAAAACTTGCGCTATTATTAGCATTGGCTAGGGAAAAGTGAATTTTGTTATTCAGACAAAACATCTGAAAGGAGAGTCAAGCAAGTGAGCCAGGAAAACCGCTAAAGTAAAACAAAACGGCCGGTTCGTGATGTCGCTTCACCCTAGCTTTTTAACCTACGCTGTAAGTACTGCAATCTTGCTCTTATGCACCGTTTATTCGACACTTTTCCTCTGTTGTAGGTTTCTTTTCCATTTTTGCTGTCTGAATCTAGATTCTGCCGTTTTTCATTGAATTTGCCTCGCTAGTTTCTACTTTTCAGAAAAGGTTGTTGTCAACGATTACATGTAGCTTTCAATCTTGATCTGAATAAAAAACACGAACTTGAACTTTTCCAGCAGTCAGTTATCGCCGTTTTTATTTTTTTGTTTATATAATTGCTTAGTTACCCATATCGCCTTCTTTTATTCGAATTCACTTCAAATCCCTAAGATTGGTATGTGTAATGGTAGCTCTTTTCCTAAAGCCTTTGTGCCTTTTTTATCCATTTACGTACCAGAAAAAAATGCCTTTTAATGCCCTTGTTTTTAATTTAGTAAAATTGCCAAAAAAACTGAACATAGATTTGTGCCAATTTTTTTTTCTCATCGAAAGGAAGCACTGTCCTTATAAAAATCATGAAATAAAAAATGGGGGTCACCTTACTCGTTTTTGCGATAGAGCTGCAGATTTTTGAGAGAGGACTGGAGCGAGTTTCAAAGAGTCATGTATGTGAAAGGGGGAAGAAAGTATTAAAAAAAAACTAATCCGTTTTTACAGAATTTACATCCAGATAGCTCATTTAGGACCCTGTGTGATAAAGAAAGCATTTTTAAATGAAAATCAAAGTAAGAACAAGTTTAACATCCACTATCGAGGTTCTCCGTGAGGAAGTCGAACTCAGCAACACGCGCGCGTACTGCTTCCGTTTTGCACATTCCCAACACACAGCACATTGAGTCTCACCTCGGCAAGAAGCCACCGCGAGCAAAAATTCCAATAGCTTTCCTCTTCAGTAAACTTCATTTTAATAATGTTACTGAGATGCTCTTTTTTTACGGCGGCCATCTTGTTATGCGCAGTAATAGATGCGCCAGTGCAAAACCAGCGAATCACCTTAAATAGGATGTTATTTTTCGGTTTTGGGCCTTAAATAGGGTATCAACGTTCGTTTGTCTCATCCTTAGATAGAGCAAGGGTGGGTCAGGCGGCACCAGTGCCTATCTGAAATTTATGGGCGTAGTGACCCCTCGGGGATTATTACCACCAGCAGTCAGTTGTCAGGTAGTGAAGTATCTCACAGTGACTTCAAGCGCTTTCCCGGGCACGGATACTCCCTGTTATGGTATTCACGGGTGGGGCTTCGCCCGAAAGGGTAACGCAAGAGCTATCCGGCATACCGTGAACATAGCCTTAGAGGAGATGTATCCAAATGGTCAAAACCCTAGCCTGCGACAAAAGCCGTTTCTCCTCGCTCTTCGCCGCTGAGGACGTTTCGCGAAACGTCCCCAGCGGCGAAGAGCGAGGAGAAACGGTTGTTTTTGCAGGCTATCAAAACCCTTGTGTATTGGACAACCCTTGGTTATTGAGAGACCGAGCGCACCCTTTTGGATAAGCGTGTGCTAGTTTTTTGGGGCTTTCCGTGTTGCCTTAGTATAGGCAGGGAAAGCAGACTGTCATCTATTGGATAGAATGATCTGCTATGTTGTAATTGGCGGGGGCCTGGTTTTGATGCTTCTTTTTCATTTTTCCGCATATCCAAAGAGTTCGCGGAAACTGTCGCCTTTCTCCTTATTTCGCCTATCTACAGAATAAATCACTTTAGGAGAGATGCAAGTAAAAATGTAAATAGATAAATAACTTATCTCATCATTTATTACCACACAATAATAGCTTAAAAACCTGAAACTAGCGTATAATATATTAAAATACTGATATGGGTATATAAAGCGCTAAAAATCGTAAACGATAAAAATAAATACTTTGAAATATTGAAAAGTAACTACAATAAGCAATAAAACTGGTTGAATTGGTCTGTGGACACTCGGCTCTGAGACTTTGGTGTCCAACATAAGGAGATTTGATTGCATCGCTTGGTCTCCTCGTGGATCATAGGAAACCTCTAAAACAGTTGAAAGTGACATCAGCCAATCACTTGTAATCTGAGAAAACAGCTACTGAACAGTCGTTTACAATTCTTAGATGCGCTAGGCAGAAAACTTTTTATTTTGAGCACAATTTGACAGTGAGCTCTTTGACAGTAATGCACCTCCCTTGTTGAATAAAACACTCATTAAAAAAAAAAAAAAAAAAATAATAATAATAATAATAATAAAAAATAAAAGTGTCACTCCTCAAAAGGCTGTGCTGCACAAGTGGGCATACGTTGCTGACCAGGGGTAAGGTCAAGAGAATATATACCGGCCAAGTTCTTTTTTTTGCTATTTAATGGACTGACACGACGTTGAAGTAGTTCTTGTAATCAAAATAAGGCAAAGAGGGTAATCCTGAATGGGCATGACTGCTTTGGATTACCCGCTCGAGCAGCCAATTAGAACATAACCCACTTCATGTTACCTGCTCACAGAGCAAGCCATTCAATAAAACATGGGGTTTTTTAGGTGAATAAAAAGGTTCACGTGAAAGGTGACAATGTTGGTATTAGAGACACCTTTGCAGTACCTGCAGTCAATACTGATCAGCATCTGTACATGTATGTCTCTTAAAATCTTACGAATTAAAATTTCCATATTTTGTTTGTATCATTCAAAGCCTGTTGAGTTAATCTACTTCATCTTCTTGGCTCTTCCTTTAAATTCATCCATGCAGGCATTTGTTCCAAAAAACTGCGCCAAAGTGTGGTAAGTAGAGGTTGGAACAGTACTGTGAAAGAACAAAAGTGCTGGTTAATACAGTTGTAATAATTTTATCTAATGGCATTTAATAAGACAAACTCAAGAAAACATTTTATAGCAAATAAATGCACAAGTGATAAAAAACTGTGCCATCCAAATAGTGACCAAAATTAATCAGTATCCATACAAAATTAAGAGAAAAAGTCATGAGAATTGATAAACTGATTACCAAAGGGGAAACGCTTTGATCTTTTAACAAATTTAAATTTTCTTAACTAATTCTTCAAGGAAATGTATGGCGATCAGTCTGGGAAATTTGTATTTGTATGTGACAGGCAGCTCATACATGTATACGTTCACTGCACATAACACATACTAGGTACATGTATCTCTTAATCATCGCTGTAAATGTAATATTTATTTTCTCAATACATTTACATGCATACAATAGTTCTTGAGGCATGCTTTTCTTTTCATAAATACTAAACAATGTTTTTGGCATGGCCATCAACATTTTGGAACATTAATAATTCATCTGCTGAAAATATCTCGCTGTAATATACACTATAGCTTATACTGTACATAATGTACATGTACCATAAAAAAAAGATCAAGAATAATTAAGTCATGCTAACTCAATGTAGCCCACCAATGATTCTCATCCCATGATTAAAGGGCCTGTGTCATGGCAGTCTAGTTCATTTTGTTTAATTTTGCCAATTATTCGCCCTACGTTCACCCTCAATCGCTACGGAACTTAAAGTAAGCAAAGAAATTACATGTAAAAGACAAAATCGGAGATCCGAGACAAACAAATAATTATTATTATGTCTCCTGAGCATTGTTTTTGAAGTTGCAAGCAGCAGGGATCAACTTTGAAAAACTGTTAGGCTGAACAGTTTTCAAAAACCCTAATTCTAATCCGTTTCAATCTTCTTCAGTTTTGCCCATCCGTGGTATCTGTTGTTTCTGTTATGTTATTTTAACCTTCCTTTAAAGTTTTAAGTGGTTATTTTAATTTATGTTTCTCTTAATTTAATGGGCATTTTGTAATTTCCTAATTGGGCTGAATTTCGTGACACAGCTTCTTTAACTTACACCGTACTTTTATTAGCACAAGTGATACATTCATGTATGTATGCTGTACAATGTATGTGAATTACAATATACAAAGTTTAAAACTCAACTAAAACTCACCTTTTGAGCCAGAGAACCAAACTCAGAATTCTTGGAAGGAACAAAAGTGCCTTATTTCTTAAAACAGCATCTACCATCTGGTCGGTTGCCCAGTCAGGTTCCAGAATTGGAAGAAGAAGAGGGAACCTAAAGTTTAAGGTGATTAATTGGTATTATTATTCATTCAAAATATTTTGCCATTTCTGATTGGCTCCAACCCCCCAGCTAATTCTTCATAACCGAGTGGCGCTTGGTATTTGGAAGATGCAGCAATGTACAATGTATCATTGATACGATGGTATATTTGCTAGGACACAAGACTGCTTGGGCAATAGTGAACCAAAAAAAGGTGATCTCAGCTATCCAAAGACAAAAATTGTAGCTGAATTTCTGATAACACTATAGAAGAAATGCAAGAATATGCCAAAGTGTATTCTAGTCAAACTGCAAATTCTTCACATCATACTCAGCCTTATTCAAATTATAATTATTATTTATTGTTCATTATAAATTACACAAAGCCCAATAAAAAATTAATGGATCTTAACTACTGTATAAAGAAATATGATTCATCTCTCAGGAAACAGTTACATTGTATTTCTGCTGAAACCAAGAATCTCAGTGTTTCCTTCAGCTCTGCCTTGAAAACATTGAGATTCTGCCAAAACAAAATAAACTAGTTTCATGAGACCAGTCATTAATTGATTTGTTATGATAGCCGAAGAAGATAAGATTTTACCTTGTTTTAACCCCATCAAACATGCCTGTGTTAATAAAGTATGGGCAGACAACAGTTGTGTGAACACCATCCTTTTTCAACGCTCCCAACTCCATGAACAGTGACTCGTCAATGCCAACTGCTGCAAACTTGGAGGCACAGTAATCACATAGTCCAGAGACACCAAAGAAACCAGCAGATGATGCTATTGTGACAACATGGCCATGGTTTTTCTCTATCATTGATGGTAAAAAGGCTTTTGTGGTCTGTTGTTGAACGTAAAAAATGTAATTGATCACTCTTTGAACTTGGAACAGCTTTGACATCTGTATTACAGTTGAACCTTTCTTAAGCAGTCATGCTCTTGGGGTATGGGCAAGTGGCCGGTTAACAGAGGGTGGCCGCTCAATAGAGGTTTGTCATGAATAAGCATGATCTTTAGCAGAAATGTCACTTCATTTTGAAACAAACATGTGATGGGAGAAGCATTACTGGTTCACGATTGATCGTCAACCTCTATCTTGACTGTAATTCCTTCAACAAATTCTTGAAATGAAGCCAAACTAAGGGTGCATTCCTTTAAGATGATCTGGATCAGGATTAGTGATGTGAGCTTACTCAGATCACGGTAAATCAAATGAACCGATGAATCCTTGTCCAGAGTGGATTCACGGGTCCATTTTTTGATCTACCATGATTTGAGTGATCTCGGATGACTGATCCTGATCATCTCAAAAGGAACGCACCCTTAAGTGTATCAAGCAACCTATGGCCGCTTAAAAGAGGTCAAAATAATACGGGAACTCTTGTTGGGAAGACCAAAAGTGGTCGACCCTCCTGAATAGAGATTTAATTTACCATTTCTTCCACAATTTAGGGATTTTGGTTACTGGCTGCTTAATTGAGGTTTACACTGTACATGTAACTGTATATCAAACCTTTCCCTCCCAGATTAAATTACAGTTGTGTAAGGAGTCTTGTTGGACAGTAAGCGGTACTTTCACTTGGGAAATTTGTTTTCTGCATTATTTAAAAAATGAAATTTGGAAGTTTCGTTGAAATTTGACTTGTTAATTTAGAAACACAGAGATGCCATTTTTATGCCATAAATTAGGGTGGACCACCATTTACCCCCTGCTTAAGTACCCAGTAGAACAATAATTATTATGCTATTAGGGAGATGGAGATGACAGTGAAGATGTCACCCAAAAAGGGAATTTGTGCTGTTTCTAAGTCTTTGCTCTTAATTCAGCTGGGTGAAATTGTCCAGTGTTGGCCAGTTTTTCTGGAATTGAATCCTACAAGACTGTACATTATTTAAGTTCAGAAAACAAAAAAGAAAATCATTTTTCTTGTGTTCATGTCCTCCATAACACATGAAAACAGGAGGTTTTAAATCATGGTCGTGCAACAATGGCAAGGAAACATACAAAAAATGGACAAAAAGTGTGACGCACTTTCAAAGTAATGTTGTTCTCTTACATGTACTGTCTTATCTACATGAAAACCTGTTGCTCTTTTACTGTTCTCATTATTGTTACCGTCATCACCGTTTCTGCGGGATCATGATTAGGGAGTTTAAGATATGGAGACTACGGACTACGAACTACGGCTGGACGAGCATTGTCGTTTGTTTGTAGCACTGGGTTGAGTCGTGCAAATATAGAACGTTAAGATTCCACTACAGACGGCAGACTACGAGAGAAGAGGCGGAGAGGGAAACAACACCCAAAAATTTTCTTGTTTTCACCACAGTTCACAAAAATGCAAGTCAGTTTTGCATGTGATCTTATCTTTAGAACAATGAACAAATTCTTCCATACTTGAAGGAAGCAATTACGTACGAGTTGATTCGCGTACAAGTTGATTCGCCTACAACTTTACTCCTTGTTCCATCACCGTAGCTCGGGTGAAATTGGTAAACAAAGTTTTGGTTGCACAGGTTTTATTTTTTTCGCCCATGAATACTTAGGTAAAATATTAAAGAAATAGACAGAAATAGTAATAGCTCATTTATTAGATTTAGAAGATGGACTTCTCCGACTACCGATCTGATGTAGTTTGAAGTATTGAAATGCCCAGTTTCGATTGTCTCGAAGATGTTTACATCATTTTCATTAACCAAATGCGATACAAAAACTCGCATAAACAAAGGTCACACAAGTAGAAAGACACACTAATCAGTTCGCACAAACATTGAAACTTTTCAAGTGTGAAGAGAAAGTAAATTACCTGCATGATTTCTCTTCTCCTCGGCCATCAATCGGAATTCTGCGTATAAACAGCTAAGCTTCTTTAAATATGAGCTTAGCTAGATAAAAATGTAGTCACAACAGTGGATTAAAAGCGTAAATCTGAGCAGAAATTAGACACAACTTACATATTTCGCTTCCCTCTCACTTAAAGCAGGCAAATTGAACCTTTTTTACGAAAAGACGAGATTCTTGAATTACCGAGACGGCAAAATATGAGCAAAATGTTCTCCGTACTCCCGACTACGCGAAACAGCTCAACAACTCAACGTAGCCGCAGGACTACGCCGGAAAAATGAACAGTCACGTGGTTTTGATCATGCGCAGTAGCATGTTTATCCGTAGCCGTAGTCCGTAGTCGGAGTATCTTAAACTCCCTATTGTCCCTTAGACAACTACATGGCAGGAACAAAACTACCCACACACCCTTCCCCTTACCAAACAGTTCTCCACGTCACGCAGATCGAATACCAGCGTGACGAACACCGCTGATGGACTTTGGACTACCAAATCTTCATACATGTAACTGTAAAATTCCACTGAAAACACTACAGATCCTTATTAAGCGTAATTGCAACTTTTTGTAGAACTCTTATTTTCTTAATGAGACCTTACTCGAATAGAAGAGAACGCATGATTGAGTAAACAGTGTAAAGATGCGCTCCATTGCGCATGCAAGGACATTAGCCAAGTCGTGTGTTCTTTCACGCAATATAAGTTATATATTAAACGTAATTATTACGTTTTTAAGCAATATACATACCCAGAAATGAGCCATCGTATTAACCTCCATAGTTTTCTGAATCATCCAATCTTCTGTGTCCAGAAATTTTTTGCCGCTAACAATCCCCGCATTGTTGATCAGCATCGTGACATCGCCAACTTCTTTCTTGACGAGATCAGCGACACGGTAAATGTCTTCACGGCTACTACAGTCGCATTTATAACCACACGCTTTGAAGCCTAGATCTTGGATTTCTTTCACAGTTTCGTCGTTTGCAGCTTGATTTATATCGGCGCAAACGACTGTCGCGCCAAGCTTAGCGAACTTCACAGCCATCAATCGGCCCAAGCCGCTTCCAGCGCCAGTCAGGAATACAATTTCTCCATTGATATCTTTACGAGGTGGCGGGAAAAATATGCGTACGAAGGACTTGAGAATTTGCCAAATAACGATTGCTATGACACTCAAAGTTTCAAGGATGAGGGAAGCCATTTGGAGAGAAGTCCGTACACGCTGACCCCTTCGCTTTAAAAGTTTTGATTTATGATGATGCATCTGTGCATGTAAATGGTCTTATGCTCTCGTTCCCAGGCTACGCGTGCGCTCTCTGGAGGTCATTCAAGGTTCCAAGGTGGCTACAATGAATTGCCGCCGATGGAAAATTTACTTGGACTATTAGGGTAGTTTTAAAAAAGTGTGACTGGCACCTGAATTTCGTGTGAACATTTATTTACAAAAAAACAAGGCATACTATACCCTTTGACTTGTTTCTAATGTCATGATCTTGAAATGATCACAGGTAACCCAAGGTCTACGAGCAATGTTTTCTGACCTTTGGAATTTCACGCAATTTGAGCATGTCGCGATATCATTGCGTGATAGCAAAACAAATCGCTTTGCCTGTGAGGAGAAATATGCAATTTCAAGGCAAAATTACGAAAAGTAACTAATTTTGTGTTTCTCTTGTTCTTATATATTTATTCGCTTTTTCCATAAAGATCACTTACCTAAATCCTTTGTAGTCTCAGTTTCTTAGGGTTTCAATTCTAACAGTTGTTTGGCTGGGTTGGATTCACAATAAAGATACAGTCTTTGGAACCAAAATCTCCCAGAATAGATCTTATCAACCCTGAGGGATAAAGTAGCAAATCATGACTTTGGCACATCCGTACCTTTCGACAAGTCACGAGTGCGTGAGCATGTGGTGAGTCGCGCGCCTGCGTAATGAAAAAAATATATCGATCACACGAGAACTAGACTACGAGTAGTCTCTCTTTTTTCTGTAGTCCGTCGAGCAAAACGCGAGACACGCAAATGGCCACGCGCGTGACTGATGGCGCGAGACGGGAGAGGCACGCCCTCGTTTCGCGCGTCTCGCGGCTTCGCCGCTCCCGCGCACATGCATTGCTCTCACTAAATCTGAAGAAAAAGAGAGACTGCTCGCAGTCTACACGAGAACAAACACACGCACCTGCCTCACCTGCCGGATAGCCTGTTGCAGCTGGAGGGGCATGCATGGAATGGAGGCTGCACTCCAGGCTAAATTCTGGGTACCCCCCCAAAAAAAAAAAAAAAAAAAAAAAAATAAAAAAAAAAAATAAAAAAAAATAAAAAAAAAAAAAAAAAAATAAAAAAAAAAATAAAAATAAAAAAAAATAAAATGAAATAAAATAAAAAAAAAAAAAAAGGAAGGAAGGAAGAAAGAAATTAAAGAAAAAGAAACCAGCACCAGCCTCATGATCAAGTTACCTTTGCCTAAGTCAGAAGTTTCTTAAGACCCTGACGATAGTTGCTGCTCAAAATAAGACAGATAAAGGGATTGATGGCACAGTTTGCGATAGCCAAATAGTAGGTGATATGAGCGTATAATAAAAAACTGCAAGACGAAAAAAATGAAATTTCCGGTACATAACTCAAAAGTACCCAGCTAGTGTGATAGGGCACCCAACTAATCACAAACACCAACACAATAGCAATGGCCATCTTTAGCACGTTCTTATTCCTTCTTGCTCGCTGTTCTTCGTTGCTGGATGACTGTTCACCTGGATGGACTTGCTTTTTAAGCTTGATCAGGATGATGGAGTAAAGTATCACCACCAGGACAAAGGGGATGTAGAAAAACACGATAGCACCTGTTAGGTGGTATTTTGCACGTGTTGTTCCTCCGAAGGCTTCCTGCCACAGACCTTCGCACAAAATCCCCCCAGGGTATTCAACCAGTCTAAAAGCAAAAAAGTATGGCGAATGAAAGGTCATTGCAATGATCCACGTAGCGACAATAAAGAAGGGACAAAACTTGCGACTGATGAGGGGTGAACGGAGTGGAACTACAACAGTTCCAAATCGATCCACTGTTATCAGAACCAGGCTCTGAATCGACACTAACGAGGAAACATCAGCAAGAAAAGTGTGTATCTTGCATAAGGCCTGACCAAGGGTACCACCAATAAGCCACCAGCCAACGTGCATCTCTGCCAGACGAACAGGGAACAGGAATATTGGATAGAGCAGGTCGGACATGGCCATGTTTGCGATCAACATATTTATCGTTTTTCTCAAAGTTGGTGTCTTATAAACAATTTATACGATGAGAGAATTTCCAACCAGCGAGGCTACAAGAATTAAACTATAAGCAACTGTTTCTCCAACTTTTAGTGCTTCTGGATTTACCAGACTGGAGCAGCCAGAGGAACTTGATCTGTTCGCTGTTGTGTTCATGCTCACTGACTCCTCAACAGGTGTGTTCTCTAAGTCTTAGCAGCTTCCAAAAACATGAATAAATACAACGGGCTTCGTTCAGTGTTAGTTCGTCAAGTGACGCCTTAAATTAAGTTCGCTTTGCATCCTGTATCAGGAAAGAAGCCGATGATTATGTAAAACAAAGGGCAAAAAAATATTGAAATATAACTCTCATAATTGCCAGTTTCAGCCAATCAACAAAAAATTCATCTTCAGGCGTGCTAACTTGAGTCGATAACACCAGCAAGGTAAAAACATATGTTCTTTAGACCTTGCTTAAGCAACCTACACGAGATATATAGCAATAATTAGTACCTGGCATTTAAAACAGGTATAGTTACGAGAAAAAAGTTGTAGTTACGTCTAAATAAACAACAGTTTCTAATGAAATACTTCTCCACTCGCGTTTTAACGCATACATTATTAAAATATTCCATGCATGACTTAAAATTAGTCTGAAAGTCGCGACTATAGCCTGTTGCAAAAGAAAAGCGATGGCGTGCCAGAAATCATGTTTTCCTTGACAGGTTCTGCTCTTAATTTTGTCATGATCTCAAATTTAAAGGATATGTTTTATAAGCACGTGCGAAAAGGAACTGTTCTGATTGGTTGACACTGGTAATAAGAGTTTTATCTCCATATTTTTTGTTCTCTCCATTAATATTTTTTTTGCCCTCTCAGCCTCAGTTTCTAGTTGAAATTAAAGCAACACTAGTTGGTCCTCAACGACTGGACAATATTAATAATTGTCAATTTAAAGTCAACAAATGGACCCGTTTCTGAACGTTAAATAAATATTCGTATTCAGCCTTAACTTTTTGCTGAATTTTTATTTAAAATTACTTTGACTCTCTAACTGAACCTAAATATTCATTTGATAAACTCTCCTTTTATAATTAAAGAAACTTTCCAACCAATGTTAATCTTCCTCGGTCTCCTTTCAATATTCATTTTCAAATACTTCGTTTCACTATTCGTCTTCTATTAGATGGCCCATCTGCCCCTTCAGTGTTGGTTTTAATGTGGCTATGTCACGTTATTTTTGCTCTCTTTTCAATAAAAGCTAAAAACTTTCTTCGCCTTAATTAAACTAACTAACTAAATAAATAAATAAAAAAGTCCAGTTTTGTGACGTTAGACTATATTCAGGAATTGAAATTAATGCTCTGTCCACACTATACTTAACAATTATTCCTCGATCCCGAGTAGGCTCCGAGTCAATAGCCCATGAGGCCGAAGGCGGAATGGGCTATTGACTCGGAGGCCATGAGGGCGAGAGGAATAATTGTTTTAGTAAAATGCAACTAGTTGGTCAAAAATATCGAGACAGAACAACTTTAGTTAGCAAAGGGCGACTCAGCCGCCATTGCTTTTCGCTACTAGTGGGCTATAACATATAGCCTAGTGGTAGCTCAACCAGTCAGAACGCAGCATTGATAATAGACCACTAGTTGGATTTTACTAATAAACTATAGCTTTTCGTGCCTACACGAACAGCAATCCAGTTCAGTGTGAACAGCAAATTAAAGCCACAGATTTGGGGGCTCACACATCTAACATGTTGCAATGTTGCCGGAGTGGTTGGCCTCCGAGAGGGATTGGTAATCTAAATTCCAGTCTTCACTCCTGAACATTTACTTCGGTAAAAATCCGTGTAAGTGGATTTTAGTCCTCGCTCCTACTTATTAACTTCCGTTGTGGTCCGAGAACTTGTTCACACTGCACCGAAGTGTGGCCCAAAACCTTTCCGATGAGATGCTCCACTTTCTAGATCGGTGCGATGCCGCTTCGCTCCGTTACCGTAACAGAAATCGCGCCGAAATCACTGTTCCGTGATGTGTGAATATAAACCTTTTCCGGTATGGTTTTCGTGCCGGCGCAAAAGTTATCCGGTTAAGTATGAACATAGCTAAATTGTTAATTTTGCTGTGATATGACTCTACCGTTCTTAAGCTACGTGCAAATGGACGCATCAGCTCGCAAAACTGTGCAGCCAACAATGTTGGGAGTTGCTGCATCCGTGTTGGCAGTGGTGTGCAAACGGATGCAACAATTAACTCCCAACAATGTTGGGACCTGCAGTGCATCGTGTTATGCGCGTGCGTGGCCCCAACAATGTTGGTGAAACTGTGGAAACGGATCCAACATTGTTGCACTACTTTTCAGCGATCTCGATAGATAGCGTCTCAAAACCATACAAAAAAAGACAACGCCATTTAATTTCAAACTGTATGTGACAGTCCCGAAGTGTTCAAATTTTTCAAACCTTCAGTGGCTGTATTTAGTGTTCCGTAAGCCATGCCCGCAGCGGTTACCTCAACAGCTATCATCGGCCCTACACAGTTCTATAACTTTACTACTACCTCTTAATGGAGCTGTGTCACGAAATTCAGCCAAGTTAGGTAATTACAAAATGCCCGTTAAATTAATAGAAACGTAAAAATAACCGCTTAAAACATTAAAGGAAGGTTAAAATAACACAACAGATATAACAGGTGCCACGGATGGGCAAAACTGAAGAAGATTGAGACGGATTGAAATTAGGGTTTTTGAAAACTGTTCAGCGTCACAATTTTTCAAAGTTGATCTCTGGTGTTTTCAACTTCAAAAATAATGCTCAGGAGACATGTTTGTTTGTCTCGAATCTTTGATTTAATAATAATAATGATAATAATGCCCAGATCCACTTGGTGGCTCTTTCCTGTTAAATTACATCAATAATAATTATAACTGAAATAAATCAAATCAAGTTATTTACAAGTTATGCACTATATAATTAAAAGTAGAAACAGGATTAACAGAATGGAAATTACAGTAAAACTAATTATAGTAATCACAGTCATTTCCATGTAATTTCTTTGTTTACTTTAAGTTCCATAGCGATTGAGGGCGAGTAATTGGCAAAATTAAAGAAAATGAACTGGACTGCCGTAACACTGCTCCTTTAATTGGGCTACACGCTATTTTGTTATTTTAAGCTCTCTGATCTGATCAGTATTTAGAGTTGTACGATCAGGTATTGTGTTTTAACAGCTTGAAATGTGTTAATCAAGAGTTTCAAATTCTTAACCATGTAAAACTATGTGAATCTTTCAAACATATTTTGGTCAGCTGCTGAAGCGCGAAGACTTAAAAAATGTTTTTTTAAAACTGTCAAAATTTCTTACCCATACGTTTCGAATAAGTGCTAACTAAAGTATAAAAATAGTCGACAATACCATTTTAAAATATCCGTTATAGACTTTGTAGTTTAAGATCGTTTAATTTTCCATAAAAGCTAGCGGCTAAAGTGAGATTCAAAACCAGAGATGCCAGGGAAACTGAGAGAAGTCAGAGAGTTGAAAACAAACGCTCTAAACCTCCCGGCCGTGAGATGATGATACTTTAGTTTTCAAATTTCCTACCAGCCTAGGTATCGATTGACTCTTAGCTAACAGGCGACAATATCACTTCAGGTATAATCAATTTGAAGAAGGTAAAAGAAAAAATAAAACGAGGCGAAAAACCCCACAGACGTCCTGCAAAATTTCATGTGATTGAACCCATGTATGCGGACGTTACCTTCAGCGGTTAATTTTCTTCACTCTAAACTGATCGAAAAATTTATGAATCCTCTGATTACAAAATTGTAAAAGATATCGATTTTAACTTTTCATGATGTTTCCCCCTACAAGGAAGTGGCGAATTGACGCTCTTTAATTACGTTTGTAACAAGAGAGGATAAAGGGGACAGAGAAGGCATCCCCTATACACCCCCTATACCATAGGTAATTCGTCTCGAGTTATTTTTAAGACCATAGATCAAAGCCATACGACACGACTTCTATTGTACAAAACCACGAATTTTGCCCGAGAAGTCATGAAGAATTGCTTACTACGCTAAGTGACATGATTATAAAACGATCTTGTTTTGCTTAATTTTTACTGAAGCTTTTAACAGGTGTAATCTAGTAATGCATTCAGTTTTACTTACTAATAGATTAAACTGAATTGCCACAAGAAGATTTTCACGGTGTGCTTCTTGTGTGGTTTTTAATGATCAGCAGACAAAAATCCAGCAACTCGATGCCTTGTATATGATGCGATTCATTAATCATCGCTAGCCAGTAGGAAATCGACATGCATCTCTAAGTATTTTTTTACCTTTTGTTCTTTCTAATAATTTCAAGGATGGTTATATCGAACCCTTAGTCAATCCACGGTGACTCTTCGACGAAGTTGTTTCAAGAAGTCGGTCCTTAATCAACTCCGTAGTGAACTCGCGGTAAGTAACTTTGTGATTAGTCAAAAGGCTTGCCTAGCCCCTTCAATTGTCACTTCTTGGAGTCACTGTGCTATTCTCTCTTTATATATTATAATAGACTCTCTTGACTATTTGTCGATATTTTAAAACCAATTTTGTTTTTGCCTTTTTAATGATTCCAAAAGGTAGCTGTTACGTTTGAAGTGAGTTTCTTAATGGTGCCTCTTGAAAAATGAATTCTCCTTGCGATTTGTTTTCCGTTTCACTTTCTATCTGGAAGTACCACGGAACAAATAAACAGCTATTTAGTCATTAAACAATGTCGTACAGCAAATTCTTACCTTTAAAGCTAATCAAGGTTAAGGAGAAATAAGAAATGCTTGTGAAAAAAGAAGAAGAACTCCAAAAAAAGAGGACATATTTCAATTCAATCCTGTTGGGTTTTATACCGATTTAGATGTTTCGATTGGTCGTTAATTCCGATAAAAGTTTCGGCCATAGCAGAGAAAAACATATGGCGGTAATCTTGTAACTTTACAGTTATTATTTTCAGTTCAGTTTCGAAGTTTTGAGCTCTTATTTGAATTCTTTCAGTTAAAATAAGCCACAAGACAAAAAAAAAAACAAAAACAAAACAAAACAACATATTTAGGCTTATACGGAACTATTATACATTCAATTTGACATCAGAATTTTGATTGCTTATTACCTTATAGCAAAATATAAAAATAAGGGGAAAATAACTTCTCCTAACAGCTTAGTTTAAAGTTAATTGCAGAAGAACCACCTGGTTGAAATTTCAATCCATGGGGAAATCTATCTCGATGTATTCTTGTCAAAGCAGACCTAGTTACTTTTTCACTGCTTTTTAGCGCAAAGAAGCAATTTATAAATCGTAAATAGAACATTAAAATGTATTTGGTGTGTATATAAGGCTGTAGCATTTCAAACAAATTGAATCAACGTGAGATCCAAACGACCTGTTTCAGTTTAGACTAAAGAGGTCAATTATATCTTAAACCGAGAGGTTGTTAAATCCTAAATTTTTCTCTTATTCTGGGGTTATTCCTCTTTATAATTTAAGTCTCTTTGAAATTCATTGAAACTAACTAAATATGTGAGGTTCTCACCTGAATAAAAATCAAGATACAAGATATCTCAAAATGGCAAGTGTTATATCATGGGTTTAAATTAACAAGGCATACCACCTGTAAGGTAGAATAATAAACTTGAATTGTCTTCAGTAGAAACCTAGGTGTAGTTTCATTTACACTTGGTTCACTTAGCCATCATACTCCGCAACTCGAAGTTTGATATTACTTCAATAGAAACGTTTATAATTGTAAATACTTCTCTAAAAGGGCTTTAACTTAGCACTGGTTAAAATATTGAGAGAAAATAAACTGAATTGAGAGAGAACTGTCGTGTAGGTTAAAAGGTGAATAATTTGGGGGGATTTTGTCATCCAAACAGTCCTTGTATTAGGAAAAGTATTACTTTAATGCCTATGAGTTTCTCGAGGGAAGAATTCGAGCTTTCGTAGCAAAACTAGGTAACAAATATTTCTGTTGGTTTCCGACCACCATGTTGGTGCCCCTCAGAGGAACCAACATAATGACGTCTCCATACAAAGCTCTCTAAATTTACGTAAACCATTTCTCCTAATATCTTGCATATGAAAAACTGCACAGACTTGAGTCTTGCCAAGGTTCTTTGTATGTTTACCTTCTTTCATTTCCCCGATTCTGGACTTTATCTATTGAACGGTGTTGATTTTTATTTTCGTTGGCGTGACAGTGAAAACCAGCAATATATAATATATCATTAGTTATTATAGAGTAATTTTCAATTGAGTGTCGAAAGAAATCCGGGATTGCATTGGTTTTGCTTTATTGTGCTCTGTGAGTGGTCTAGAAAACTCGCGCCACCTTCTAAGCCAATCAGATACAAAACTAAAACCAATCGCGACCTGGTTACTCGCGTTTTCCCGCGCTTAAGGCCGGTTACATGCGTTCACTTCGATTTCTCATTGGCTCCCTCTGATATTTTCGTTTGTTCTAATTGGCCGTTGTGATTACTTTGGTTTTGGTTTTACACATATTGTTTTTGTTTCAGTGCATCGGTCAATAAAGATGAAGTTTTCAAGCTCCTTTGTGATTTGTATGCTGCTTTTACTGTCCTTTGTGTTTGCCAAAGGTAAAGTCTGAACAGAAGTTGCATTGGTTATTTTAGGTTACTCTTACTAGAGAATTACGCTTACATGACAAGCGTTCTGGGCACGGCAACCTTGAAAATGGGCACCAGTGCCGAAATGTTTGGTTCTTCATTTGTTCGTTTACACGACAAAACTGACTGTTTTTAAGGGCGCCGAAATGGACATCGGCACCTCTAAATTAATGAGCTCATCTTTGCATTAAGTCAGCGGTTTAACTGCTTTCAAGATGGTGGACAGCAGACGTAGACTATACTTAGCTTCAAAAATAATCTGGTTTTCTTCTGAGATTTTTGAAAAGTTAAAAGGAATTTTAGAAACTCTGGAGATCTTCTGATGAATTAGGCAAGTTCCAAGAATTTTAGAACTTTAATTCTTTTAAAAATAAATAAACATATGCTGTAGAGGTCGGAATTAGATAAATAAATGTTCCTGCTGGCGTAAATTGTAGTGAACTCAATGCGCTTGAAAAGCTATTTGCAGTATGAAAAGCGACCAGGGCAAAGAGGCCTCATGGCTTCTCATGCACAGTGGTTTTAGCATTCAATTAATATATAATTATACCTTGCTCACTTCCTACTTTTAGTAACAACGCTGGTAAGTTGCGCATAATGTTTGTGCAAGCCGCGCTAGCTGTAATGTTTTAAATAGCTTAACTCGAGTTATCTTTTAACGTCTTCACAAATTTAACGATAGCATGATGGTTTCCTCGCTGACTTCTAAAATGTTGAACACCGGTGCCCTACTTAATTCCATTTACACGATAAAAAATTGGGGGTACCGTGCCAGGGGCCCATTTTTAGGGGTGCCATACCAAAAACACTTGTTGACGCCTATTGCTTAAAAGCTTAACAAGAGGGCAACTGAGGTAAAAGTCTAAAATGGCCTGGCTCAGCCGAGGCACGAGGAACTTATCAGCAATAGGATGAGCCCATAACCAGGGTCAACCACTGGCCAACCCAACTACGCTGTAGAACTGGTACTTCTAAAATGCTAATTTATTAACATTTTCAGGAATGCCTTTTGATGAACTGGAAAGTACTGACGTGACAGGGGAAGAACAAGGTTGTTAGGAGGAAATCAGTTTGAACAGAACTTTAAGCTAAGCATTTAGAAGCATGGAAATAAAATATTAAATAAATGAATAAAAATAACCGAACTGACAATTAGAAGCGGACGAACTCGAGATTTCTATTAGCAAATATATTTAAAATATAAAGTATAGTCAAGTGATGAAGCTCTCCAGCATACTTACTGGTGATTTTGAACAATAATATCCGGTTCTTTTTTTTACACTACGGCATCTACGAGGGTAAAACTATACTCAGTTTGATATTTTGATATCTTGGTTTTTAAGTGCGTTTAACTGTTACGATCATAGATTGAAACTCTGTGCATTCTTAAATTTTAATGAAGAGCTTGCTGAAGAATACTTATCCTATTGATTGTCACCATTCTCTCTTGTTGTCACTGATTTTGTCATTTCTTTTGCTTTAGATCTGAATGTCCGCAACGTTGTGCGCAAAGTTGAAAGTAAGTTGAGAAAAAAACAAAAGATACTGTAAAATTCCGAAAATAAGCCCCGGGGCTTATATTTTTCAAAGGCCCTTTTTGAGGGGCTTATTTTTGGATGGGCTTATATTCGGAGGGAAATTTGCGTTTCAAAACCGATTGGGCTAGCCTTATAGTTGGAAGTGAATTTACCGTTTTTGCTTTGTTTCACTTTGAATTTGAGGGCAATTTTCTAAGTACAAGCCCCCGGGGGGCTTACATTTGGAGGGGCTATTTAACGGAGGGTTTTTTGCGTTACCGGTTTGGGGGGCTTGTATTTGGAGAGGCTTGTACATGGAGGGGCTTATTTTCGGAATTTTACGGTATTCAACCAATGCCAGTAGTTTACATTGTGAACCACAAAAACAAATACAGTCGAGCCTCTATGTGCGACTACCGGGTGTAAACGACCATCTCATAAGTGAACATCTATTCAAACTACAAAATTTCTCTAGACTGCAAAACAGTCGGTTTTTTCCTCAAAATCAGTAAAGAAATCGGTAAAGCGTGGCGTAAGAGCCTTACGCGTGCAAACCGCGCGAGGGTCACACGCCCTACGTGTGAGGAGTACTTTTAGCGTCTCTCCCAAGTCTCGCTCTCTGTTTTCAGCCTCGTTCCACACCTTTTTTTTGACTGCTCGCGCGTACTTGGATACGCAAAAATACGGACTGTTTTGCAGTCTAAAATTTCCCCAGTCAAATCATCCCTGATAAACTTAAATTAAATACATGAGAATATAACGAAATATGAAAAGGCAGATACCTGAAAAATCAACATCTCTTTGAATTGAGGTAAGACTTGCATTCAGCTTTTCTGAGTCCGGGAACTCACTGTAGGTCCTTTTTTCATCAGTGGTATGTAACGGAATTCTGCTAAATTCCGTCCGCTCACTCGGAAGTACAACATTCAGTTAAATGCGCTGCTCCTCGTTTTATGATTATGGCTTACTCGCTGTGCAAGAGAACAAAAATTTGAGCGTTCTGAGTTTGGAACGTCCTTTACATTCCTTCCTTTAATTTCCAAAAGCTTCATAATATTATCGCTAAGCTTTTCAAATATTCCACGGAGGCCATGTACTGCCCGGGGCCGGATCAGTTGAGCCTTTTTGCCACTCTCTCACATTATTTTGGTTGCGTAATAATTTTTCTCATCATTTTTTCCAGGACTTCTTGTGAGAGCATGGCGTAGAGTACGCAATGGTAAGCAAAATATTATGCACTGTTTAAAAAACGAGCAGTAGTATATCTATCCACTGATTATCAGGTTTAAAACCTCGAGGCGAAGACGAGAGTTTTTACACCTCGTGATCAGTACACGAGTCGACTGCAAGTTTCTTTGAACGGCTTCAAAATCTTTGATACAGATCAACTCATTCTTGCACTAATATTTAGATTTGGGGTTATTTTGGTCTAAAAAAATGGACGTAAAGTTTAGCCTTGTCTTTATCAGATAAAAAGACACTCATTAAACATTGCTTTCTTTTGTTTCTCTTTATGAATTATTGATGAGTTTTTGAAATGTATTTTTTAGCTATTTTGAAAAAATAGCTCATATATCAGTGGTCTGAGCATGTGTATCTTTATGGCATTGTGGCTTTGTATGTTCGGATGCGTGTTGCAGAGGCCAATAAGGGTGAAGGTACTCTGAGTTGATGCTAGGGAACCAATGAGATTTTGGCATCTAAACAGAACTTTGCTAAAAAACAACGGCACTTTGAGACCGCCATTTGGTTCTTCACAATTTTGTCGTCTCGTTATTACGACTAAAGGAGTTTAGAAGCATAATCTTTAAATATCTTCATGATTCAAACGCTGAGTACAGTGATGCAGCTGTTTAAGGGTTCATATTTTAGTGTGGCTGCTGGTTCAAGAAATTTATGACCTAATTCGGCTATCGCGAAATGCACAACGTACGTGAATTATGTTTCATTTGCTGCTACGGTGAAGTATAAAAAATCATATTTTTCAAAGGTCTACAAATGAAACGTTAATAATTGGTATTTGGATATTGACTTTAATTTGGAAGTATGCGGCGTAATTGTGTTTTTAGAAGTTTGAACAAGAGCTGATTTTTTAAAACTGTACCGAGTAAATTAATTTTGTGAACATGCTTTATTCTCTCTCGTAGAAAGTTCAACAGACCTTTAAATTCACGTTCCGGCAACTTAGGTACAACCATATCTGATACATGTTTGCTGTGGCTAAGTTAAGATGCGTAACTTTTGCATTAGCGAATAAACTTGGAAATAGCCAGTTGACGAAACAATTAGAGATTGTTTCATTGCGTGGAATAACAATTCTGTTTATTGCAGAAAGAAGGTGATTTGTTAAAATCGTTTGAGCAAAGTAATCTGGTAAACAGCATGCGTTCTTTCACGTACAAATTGTAAAAGAGACAAAGTCCAACATCTTCACGTGCAGATTGTGTGTATGAGTTATTTTTTTTACTTATTTACATTTGCCACATAAAACAAATATTACAGAAAGAAAATGAAAAGTATATTTAAATTCCCTCACGTTCGAACCACGAAATGGGGCAAAGCTCAACGCTTTCAAGTGCCAGCTGTATGACTGTAGTCATCTCATACAGATTGGCTTTCGGCACTTTAATAATTGCCAACGAGGCAACCGAGCTAAGAAGCGAGGTTGCCTCGGCGGCAGATTTATAAACCCGCACGATGTAGGCAAAACCTCTCAAATTCTGCGTAACCATCTAAAATTTGAATTTTTGACCATATTTGGGTGTAAGTAAGACCCCATATTTGGGCAGTGACGTCATGGTCTTGTATTTACAACGCGTGGTCCGAAAGTGGGTGATTCATTGTGCAACTGTTCGTTGTCGGTTCAAGAGGCCCCAACAGGTGAGCAAGCTTTAATATGATTTCTCGTTTGAAAGGGCTGTTAGTGCTCTGGTCTGCTTTATAAATTGGGTTTAAAGTAGCAGCTGATCAAGGAATAGGGTTTTACGCTCAAATTTTTGTCAGAACCAGCTTGTTCTTTTCAGCTCCATTTACAATGAGGCAGCGTGTTCGCTTCTCGACTCAGAATCAGGGTTTTCTGTGTTCTCTTTTCCTTTGTGTATTGAATTTTAGGCGGTAGTTGATCAAGGCATAGGGTTATATTCTCAAAACTTATATCAGAACCAGCGTGTTCTTCGCAGGTCGATTTACATTGAGCCAGTCCTCACCTTCCGTGAGTAATGCAACGTATTTGCGGACCTTTTTTTCAGAATTTATTCATGTCTTTAGATTTTGTCAACCAGCATGTTTTTTTGCTGTTCGATTTATATTGAGACAGCCCAAAACTCCCGTGAGGAATACAACGAACTTGCGGACCTTCTGTTTTGAAGACTGTCATTATGCCTTTTAAGAGAATCTTTGTCCTGTGACTATCGCTCATTAGATCTTTGTATTTAATTCAAGTTTATATTTTCATACCTCTGATACATTCCGCCCTATTCTTGCGCTTTTCACACATTTTACTTTACACCAATTTTTTCTTATGTATATTACTACGCGAAATATTTTTCTTATCCCTGATGACGCTGTTGCGCGGAATGTAATTATTATTTTTAATTTCAGCAGTCAAAGGCCTCATTTGAACTATAGTTTTCTTTCTAACGTTTATAGTTTTGACACAATGGAATTTTCCATGAAACATAAGATTAGTGCTAACTTGCTCATATTTACCAACAAAGCTTCAAGCTATGTTGTTATTGTTCAATAAAAGTGAAAGCCTAAAGTGTACCAAAGTTGTTGTTTTGAAGTTGGGTGCCATCCTTGTCTATAGCGGAATCCATTTTAAACCTCTAAACATATTATGGAAAAAAATATATCGCGAAGATCTGAATAGGCACATTCCACAAAGGATGAACGTAAAAAGACCTGTTTCGTTTTGTAACCAATGCCTTAAGTAAAGGCTCTTGCCTTTCAAGAAGCAATAGCTTTTAAAACATGAAGAATTAAGTCGTCAGAGTTAAAGACTGTTTCAATGAGTAGAATCGCACGTAAAAACCTCGTGAGAGTATGATGATACAACCATGTACCACAATGATAAAAATCCTGATATTTCGTAACTATTCGGTATTCAATGAGCCACATTTCCTTAAGAAACTCCAAAGAAACCTTCGAGTTTTATTTCTAATCAATGTTTGATGAGTTGATACTTATTGTACTTTAACATTGTTTAACTTGCACCAGATGTATCACTGAAAGACAGAGGAAAGTGAATATATAGCAGGAGGATCGACTCAGCTGTGTGTTTCGCATTTTCATTCATGTACGGCAATACCCCCCCAAAAAAATACCGCACAAAATAACAGATATATATATTTAGGATGAAAAAGGTTGACTCATCATTCTTGGTACGGTTACATTGAAGCATTCAAAATAGCTCATGCACGTCAAACGTGCCTATGTTTGCCTATGATTTAGCGGTGTGACCAAAGTAGAATCTCTATTTATCTTTGTATTGATTCATTTTCAATCAAGTTATTCCGAGAAACAAGTTAGTTTTTTACGCAGCTTCCTGCTTAAAAATAGTAAGCTCAATTTGTTTGCTATTTTAATACTCATTCTCTTATTTTATTCATACTCGAAAACCTGGAGCTTGCTAGGCCCCTAGCTTAAGTTAGGCCAATGCGTCCAATTTTTTTAAAGGAAATACAAAATTAGTTAAAATAAAATAAAAAAACATTATAAAACTATTACATAGCTGAAAGCTATAGAATAATTGTTAAACTATATAGTTAATCGATAACTGAACTGAGAACAGAGGTATGGGAAAATAAAAAGACTATCTAAAACTAGTTGTTGCTATGTAGGTGAGAGTTACATGCGTTTAAGTTCATCTTTCTGATTTGTGTTACGAACTTTCTAACTCCATCATTATATCACAAGGAATTGCAAGAGATTACTGTTTAACCCTCGGACGTACAGGGGTGGGACAAGGGGAGGGGTCCACCCCCCCTCTGAGCTCTGAGGTTTGTTTTTGATTTTTTCCTACACGATAAAAAA